CCACATCTTCTTATATCAAGTTAACAAATACCAAATTTCTGTTTGAGTTAAAGCTATGACTTGCCTTTTGGATACAAATTGATTCATTTTGGTTAGCGACGTCCTTTCGATTCAAATTTGCAAGTTGTAACAAAATGCCTTAAACAGCAACATTTTGATTTTATGGAAACATGTAAAATTGTGAAACAAAACAAGAAGTAAATGATATAGACTCTTTTGTCATTTGGGGGCATTTTATAGCTGACTATGCGGTATGGGCTTTGTTCTTTGTTGAAGGCCATACGGTGACCTATGATAGTTGTTAATTTCTGTGTCATTTGGTCTCTTGTGAAGATTTTTCTCATTGGCAATCATACCACATCTTCTTTTTATCTTTAATATTCAATTTAAAGTAGGATTTGACCATTTTTAGATTTTATAGAATGATAGACCAAAATATAATGTGTAAAAAAATGACCAAAAACGATAAAGAATACAGAATTGAAGGAGCCTCCATCCAGATCCTCGTTTGTGTGTGTGCAAATACTAGTACTAAACATGCAAAACTGCATTATCATTTAGACCAGGTAGATCGATAACATTTGATGTTTTCAATTGAGGAAATTTAAAGTAATTGTCTTTATCTTTTAAAATTGTCTTTTTCCTCAATTTTAAGATATATTTGTGGTGATTGAATGGATATAATTGTGGATGTGACTGAGACTCAATTCTGTTATTAAACGGCAAATACATATTAAACAAGAGGCTCTCAAGAGCCTGAATCGCTCACATTTAATTTTTTGCTTTAATCTTTCATCAATGATTATTTTTGCTTTTCAATATATATTAATGAGTGGCTTAAACATGCCATTTAAATGATCTTTGTGTCTGTCATATTTTCTTCAAAAGCAAAAACATGTATTTTATCCCTATGTTCCATTTTAGTCATAGTGGCTATGTTTCTTGACGGACAAGGATATGAAATACAAAATTTATACTAGATACTCTGAAACTCATTCAGCCCAAGTTTGGCTGAAATTGATTCAGCAGTTTCAAAGGAGAAGATTTTTTAAAGTAAGCAAACTAGATGAACAAATTGTGGAAAATTGTCTTTAAAGGGCAATAACTCCTTAAGGAGTCAATTGACAATTTTTGTCATTAAACTTATTTGTAGATCTTAATTTGTTGAACATTTTTGCTGTTAACAGTTTATCTTTATCTATAATAATATTCAAGATAATAACCGAAAACTGCAAAATTTCCTTAAATTCATCAATTCAGGGGCAATAACCTAAAAATTAGATACCCGATTTGGCTGATAATTTCAGGGCAGGTAGACCTTGACCTAATGAATACTGTAACTCTTGTCTGATTTGCTCTAAATGCTTTAGTTTTTGAGATATAAGTCAAAAACTGCATTTTACCCTATGTTCTATGTTTAGCCATTGTGGCCATGTTTTCTGAGGAAACAGAAAAGAAAACACAAACTTTATTCTAGATAACCTAAGAATCATTCAGGCAGAGACATATAATACAATTGTATTATATGTCTCTGATTCAGGTTAAGTTTGGTTTAATTTGGTTCAGAAGTTTCAGAGGAGAAGAAAAAAAGTTAGAAAACATGATAAACAAATTGTGTAAAATTAATTTAAAGGGCAATAACTTCTTCAGGGTTCAATTGACAATTTTGGTCATAAAACTTATTTGAAGATCTTACTTTGCTGAACATTTTTGCTGTTTACAGTTTATCTTTATCTATCTATAATAATATTCAAGATAATAACCAAAAACTGCAAAATTTCCTTACAACTACCAATTAAGTGGCAGCAACCCAACAATGGGTTGTTAGATTAATCTGAAAATTACAGGGCTGATAGAACTTGACCTAATGAACATTTTTACCACTGTCAGATTTGCTCTAAATGCTTTAGTTTTTGAGATATAAGCCAAAAACTGCTTTTTACCCCTATCTTCTTTTTTTAGCCATGGCGGCCATGTTTTTTGACGAAACAGAAAATAAAACACTAAATTTATTCTAGATACCCTAAGGATCATTCAGCTCAAGTTTGGTTGGAATTGGTTCAGTAGTTTCAGAGGAGAAGATCTTTGAAATAGTTAACACTGGACGGACCACGGACGACTGACGCCAAGTGATGGCTAAAGCTCACATTTCCTTTTAGGAAAGTTGAGCTTACAAAACACAAATTAATCCCAAGAGAAAATAAGAGGCCAAAAGATGTGTTTATATGTCACACAGGTGTCTTTACCACCGTGACATCAAGCTCCGAATATCACCATTTGCCCAGTAGCCAATGCTTTTGATGATACATTTTGTCTGTGGAGTGTCTGTTGAGTTTTATGAGGCACTGGCGTAGTAACGAGGTAGGGGGGAATATTATGTTTTTTTCCCTCCCCCACTTTTTGGTCGACATTTTTCAGTTATTGAAAATAAAAAATGAAAGGCCACTAACTACTAGATGAAAGAAAGGCTATTTGTTCTCTGCTTATCACTTTCATGATTCCCCCACTTTTTAGTCCATTGCTATGCTACTGCGATGATCTGGATCGTGTTTACAGAATAGAGATTCTGGATAATAGGCCAACACTACAGTAAATGGGCCAAAAAGATTAAGAATAGAGGAAAATATACCCTCATAAAATTAGAATAGATTGGGGTACTATATAGAATATAAAGAATAGAGAATAATGGCAAAGTTGATAAAGAATAGATATATAAAAATGGCCTAAAAAATTAAAGAATACAAAAATGAAGACACCCCACCCAGGCCATCTTATGTAGGGGCAATATTAGTTTTATATTGCAAATCCGTTTATATTTTTTGGCTTACCAAACTGTTGGTTTGAGCGTTAAATTTTTTTGATTTAGGTTATACTAGAAACATCCGAAATAGCACATCAGTATGCACACGCAGAAATCAGTGTCATTTATTTTTGATAAACCCGTTGCTTTCTGCATGTGCTTATCCTTAGTTATGAGTTGTAATCCAATGGTTGTCATTGACTGCCCGTTTGTCACGTTTGTTTTGCGTTGTTTTTGTTTTTGTTTTTTTTTATTGTATCAGATTTTGCTACCCTGGGCCTTTTATAATAGCTTACTATATGGTGCGGGTTTTTCTAATTGTTGAAGGTCGTACGTTGACCGATAATCGTTTCCATCCTTGCCCTTTTGTTATTTTGGATATTCGTCTCATACACCTTATCGCTATTTGTCCGCCATTACTGTACATCACACAAGTTCCCGTAAAATTTTGACGTCATAATAGAAAATATCTGACGCCACAATGGAAAAGTGATTGTTGTATGACGTCAAAAGTTCGAGCGGGACTGATTATCGGGTCAAGCGGGATTAGCGATAAGGTGTATTGTATGGCATCTTATTTCTATATTGAGATAGAATAAGCTTCTTTATGTCAGCGTTTAAAACACTTTTAACTTTTGAAAATGTAATTATCTGACTGATCAAAGATCATCGTAAATCCAAGTCATTTGAACCATATACTGCATCGCCTTATTTTTTAGAAATTTGTTTTCTCTATACACCTTATCGCTATTTGTCCGCCATTACTGGACATCACAAAGGTTCCCGTAAAATTTTGACGTCATAATAGAAAATATCTGACGCCACAATGTAAAAGTGATTGTTGTATGACGTCAATAGTTCAAGAGGCGCAGATTCTCGGGTCAGATTTCCAAAATAGCGATAAGGTCTATACATAAGCTATAATTACTCCAATCCGCAATGAGTTGGAGAAAAGAACAATCGCACTGGCTGACTCGATATTAGACAGTTACCGATTTTTTTTCTTATCTGTATTCAAATTGCAGTGTTTCTTAGACCATTAAAAAATAATGTGCTAGTCCCAGAATATACACTGTAAACGGCAAAACAGTTAAACATAAATATGAAACTTCATCATAATCTTAATTGTCCCTTTTTTCACAGTACTTGGTTAACTTTTATGTTTGGTTCAAAAATAATTCTGCATTAGTAAGTAAGTGTAGCATATAAAACATATGTGCCCTATTATAGCTGACTATACGGTATGGGTTTTTCTCATTGCTGAAGGCTGTACGGTTGCCTATAATTGCTTACACCCACTTTATTTGAACTTTGGTGGATGGTTGTCTCATTGGCAATCATACCATAACTCCTTCTTTTTACACTTATTTGAAAAGTGCTAGCGAGCGTTGTTATTACATACTATTTAACAAATACATTGTTAAGTTTGTGTTGCTCAGTCTTTGTTTTTCTATGTTGTGTTATGTATACTGTTGTTCGTCTTTTCGTCGTTTTTCGGGATTTTTTTGCCATAGAGTTGTCAGTTTGTTCCCGACTTGTGGGTTTGAATGTCCCTTTGGTATCTTTCGCCTCTCTAGTACTTAAAAAACATGAGAATTGAAAAAAACGATACGTATCAATGAGTATCAAAATTAAACTGATAATCAATGTCAATGCCAAGAAGTTTTACGGTTGACTTCACCACAGGGACTCGGTTAGCAGATTAAAATTTTGTTGATCAATGTTTTTCAAATCTATTTTCGTAGTTCCTGATAATCTGCTAACCGAGTCCATGAAAATCGGATCAGCATTTTGAATATGTATATATGGGATTTTATTACGTGTCTTTTCCCCAACTGCTAAAACTTGAAATTTGCCAGGACATGTCTGCACATTTATTTTGAAAATTTCGATAAGTCTATGATTCTACAGTAGAAATTAAAACATTATAATCTCGGGATTATAGTAAGATAATGCTTTAAAATTTTGTAGTAATATACTTATGCGTTTAGATTTTTTTATGCTGTAATTTTTAGATGTGCTTTTAATCTTAATTGATTTTCTTAACATAGTAGTTTTTTTTTTATATATTTGAATAAGCATGACACATGTATACCACTCTCCAACCTCAGTTTGCACTCTGAACCGGCCTTTGGTTCGTGTTAGGACATGATTAAATTCCGCTTACTGGTTATTGGGGAAATTATTTTGTGTCCAACTACTTCCGGCTTGGCTGGGAAAGCACGCTTATTATTTTTATTGATGTTTTCATATCTAAATCTTGAACTATGACACTGGATTTTGTGTCCGAAGTTGACAGAAAATTCTACTCCAACAACTTACTCACAAACGATGACTGGGGTAAGAACAATACTATCAAAATTAACGTGCAAGTTGGATGACATATGACACTAACAGTCAAAATGTTGAACGAAAAATGTTTGTAAAAATATTTAAATCAACATTGTTAAAATACATTATAATTGTGTGTTTTATATTTTGTATACACTACGATACAATCATCATTTCTATATGAATGACATTGTCTTGCTCTATTTTTTGTTTGTTTTGTTTACCTAATAATATAAAATCCTGTTGAACTTTATAATGGGTTGGGAATTCCCCACTCGTTTAACACCTTACAGTTCATACATGTATACATTTATAGATTAGAAATTTGCAGTAACTTTTGAAATCTCACGATCATGTTATTGAAAGTAAAATATATTTATTTATACCCAAAAGACTAATTAGATTATACATGCATCAAGATAATAATCATGATAATGATCAAAAGTTCTTATAATATATATCTGTAGCTGGTTTTAAATTTAAATGACCCCTGCATTGTGGTGATGTAAAGTTCCTCACTGCTTCCTTTTAATATATTTTATATTTTTATAAAATTGACCTCATTATACTACACACTTAATTTTATTTCTTTGTGTATTTTTGAATGAATACTTTTATTCTTGCATGTTTTATAATAATTATTGTTTTATGTTTATGTATCTTGCCTGACAATGGCCCATGGTCATGATTGGTAAAATAACAATGTCTTATGTCTATCAATACAATACAATATTTTATTGGAAAGAGCACAAAAGGGACGTGATTCAAATACAGATGCATTTAACTATTAGTATTTCATGATCTAATACAAATACATTGTATAATAACTGTAAAAATTTACTAGTTAACATGTATTAGTCTGAAAATTAATATATGGAACTTGCCTTCAGAAAAAGAAGAATATGGTTTTAATCACAAAAAAAAGTGCAATGATTTTTTTTTATTTTTAAAGCCAAAGGTATTATTAATGTTTAAACCTCAGACTACTCTTTACATACAACACTCAAGATTTAAAAATGCTATAAATTTATTTTGTTAGACTAAAAGTTAATAACATCGATGTAATTTGGCTTTTGGTCTTGTACATGTACATTGTACACTTTAAAAGAGATCAAAATAATAATATGTTAGAACATGAAATCCTTTGAGTTGTTCCTCCTTAGGGATCAATATAAATGGTATTGATGATCATTGATTGGTGTGGACAATAGATACCTGGACAACAATTAACCATCTGAATAGACCAGATGTTTGATGAGTGGACAATATCAAAGATCAATTTTACTTGACTCTGTCAACAAGAACAAACCAGAAAATCCAAATGTAAAAAATGTCTATGAAATTAAAGTTTTTGTTTCTGAAACTGAAAAAGTATTCCAATTTTATAAATCTAATCCTATAGCTACTATTTAGAAAAAGACTTAAAAGTTCTGCAACAATGCACAATTAGTGTATTTATTTAGTCATGATATATAATGTATTCATTTGTACATAGACATTTTTAGTTTTCCATAGATGTCTTTTCACTTTTTATACGACCACAAAAAAAATTTTGTGGTCGTATATTGGTATGACGTTGGCCTCGTCGTCGTCCGAAGACACATTAGTTTTTGCACTCTAACTTTAGTTTAAGTGAATGGATCTCTATGAAATGTTACCATAAGGTCCAATACCACAAAAGGAAGGTGGGGATTGATTTTGGGGGTTATGGTACCAACAGTTAAGGAATTAGGGGCCAAAAATAAGCATTTTTGTAACTTCCAGACATAACTTGTGTGTAAGTGTATGGATCTCTCTGACATTGTATCACAAGGTTCCATATCACAAAGGGAATGCTGGGATTGATTTTGGGGGTAATTGCCTCCAAATTTTAGGAATTAGGGGCCAAAAAGGGGCAAAAAACAAGCATTTTTCTTGTTTCATGACAATAACTTGTGTGTAAGTGTATGGATCTCTCTGACATTGTATCACAAGGTTCCATATCACAAAGGGAATGCTGGGATTGATTTTGGGGGTAATTGCCTCCAAATTTTAGGAATTAGGGGCCAAAAAGGGGCAAAAAACAAGCATTTTTCTAGTTTCATGACAATAACTTGTGTGTAAGTGTATGGATTTTTATGAAATTGTACTACAAGGTTCCATATCACAAAGGGAAAGCTGGGTTTGAGTTTGGGGGTAATTGCCCTTAATGTTTAGGAATTTGGGGCCAAAAAGGGGCCAAAAAACAAGCATTTTTCTAGTTTCCAGACAATAACTTGTGTTCAAGAGTATGGATCGCTCTGAAATTGTACTGCAAGGTACCATACCTCAAAGGGAAGGCTGGGATTGAGTTTGGGGGTGATGCATCATAAGGGGGTTCAAAAAAATTGGGGGGGGGGGGATTTTTTTTCCTTTTTTTTTTCTTTAAAATTTTTCATTTTAAATTGGTTATTTCTGATTTATATATAAAAGCAAATAATAATGATATGGTTTGAATAGGTAAATTAAAAATTTTTAAGTTCTTAGACCACTTTCATTCTGTGTCAGAAACCTATGCTGTGTCAAATATTTAATTACAATCCAAATTCAGTGCTGTATCAAGCTTGAATGTTGTGTCCATACTTGCCCCAACTGTTCAGGGTTCGACCTCTGCGGTCATATCAAGCTGCGCCCCAGCGGAGCATTTTATTGGTATTTAGCTGGATTTTGTCTCTGAATGACCCTTGTCAATGTTTTGTATTGTGATGCAATATTTTGCTGGAACTTATGTGGTTTTAAGTAACCGCAGAAACATTCGCATAAAAGGCCACCCTTAGAAAATTCTTTGTTGGATGTTGCCTACGTATACCCATTCCTTTTAGGGTTGGGTAGGTAGGTAGGGCTTTAATTTTTTTTTGCCAACAACATGTTTTACACAAGAAAATGTATAGAGCAGGAAGAAATCTTTGAAAAAAAATTTTTCAAACAATTTGTGTCATAAAATTTTGCTTTGCTTTTTAACTAAGTAGGCAACATCAAACAATTTCAATTTATTTTTTGGCCCAATTGTAAATACCTCCATAATGTGAGGTCACAAATGTCAGTGTTCTCCCCAGGATTTTTAGATAGCACCAGGGTAATCAAGGAGACAAATTAGATATATGCATCGAACATAATTTGCATCGCGTCACAACTCTTTTCCTCTGTCCTCCTTAAAGTTAGTTCCCATAGAGTTCTCTCTTTTTTTATTAACCTTTTATCCGTTTAAGTTTAAATATATTCAAAGAGGAAGAAAAACATGATGCATTTCCTGGGAGATTAATCTAACCACATGAGCAATATAACCAGATTACTGCAATAAATTTAAATGAAAGTTTTATTGATTTCCAGGTACCGGTATATAAAATGTACACAAAACATACAATCTGAATCAATATTGTCAACATTTAATATAAATTTTTAAAATCTCTCCAAGTCTATTAGAACATGGAAAAGATCAGAAAATCATTACATTTCTTGAAGTAAAATGGCAGTGTACATTTACATATCCATATATTTACGTGAAAACTTATTGTTTTCTTATTTAATTATTAAATATTTTACCGTCAGATCCCAAATTAAAAAAAAAAAAAAGAAAAGATGTTGAAATGTTCATGATGTTAGATTTGACATTTTTTGTAAAAACACTTAAAATATTTAATAAAAAAAATGATATTTGTTTGTTTGGAAATCTCCCATATTCTGCATGCTTTTGTAAAATCCATTTATGGTTGTGATGAGAGACCAGGGAAATTGTACATAAAGAATTTTATTGATTTTGTAACTGTTAGTTGACATCTTATTGTTGTCTCGTTTAATTTTCCCAGTGATGTTGAATACATGTATGTAAGTCTTTAATGATCTTTTATCATTGATCTCATACATGTAGATTTGACCACAGTCATCTGAATTTCTAGCAATCAGTGATCAATATTTTTTTTTTTGGGTGGGGGGGGGATGGAATTATGTTTAACACATTTGTTGTATGCATAAAGGTCAGATATAAAAATGTATTTTCTCAATTTTTAATCATTTTTTGCTAGAAATCCAGGTTTATATATTATTTTTTTCCTGAATTTTCAATCATTTATTGTGTTTATTGCAATAAAACCAGCTTAAACATTATTTTTTACACGAATTTCAATCATTAATGAAAATCAGGTGACTGTGATTCAACATAATGTTAAAGCAGCTTTAATTATTTATGATTCTATGAACGACCTGTGTTCAGTAGGAAGTCTTTCTCAGATCCAGAAACTTTTATGAAAATATATAATCCTTGTGCATGTTGTGGTGACCTGGAAACTAACTATGTATTCATGTACTTTGTATATAAGAAAATGCTATTGTTTTAGTATTTTAACACGATTAATGATATTCATGCTATTAGAAAATTAAAACATTGTTGAGATAACACCAAATGTCCTTATAATTAACTGAAATTATATAATTATTTGAAGTTGTACATGTTATGATGCACATGAATAACTAAATTGTGTCACAGTGTATAATATTCTAATTTTGGACATCAATCTTAATGTGTGTTTAACATATTTAACTTCTAGCTAGATTTGTTTGGTTTGTACTTTAATTTGTTTAAGTGCAGAAATGCCAAGGTTAGACAATATATTGAATTTTTCCATAAAATCATGGATGTTGCAACGTATGCAGGAAATTCTACCAAATGCAGGACAACAGTTATCCTAACACTGTCTGATTTGTGACATTTGTGCATTCTTCATCCACAGAATTGTACTGTGAATTCAGAAACTTTTGTGGTGTTTTATTTTATTGACATGATTGAAAGCAATGCGACATGTAACATGGGTAAAGTCTCAAAAAAATAAAAACTCACATTTTAAATTTGGATAAAATTATTGTTGATTTGTGTCTGTCGTTCAACACAAATGCATGCAAACCAGGGGCGGATCCAGCCATTATTAAAGGGGGGGGGGGTGTTCCCAACCCAGGATAAAGAGAGGGGGGGGGGTTCCAACTATATGTCCCCATTCAAATGCATTGATAGTAAAAAAAAAAAGAGGGGGGGTCTGAACATCCCCCCTGGATCCGCCACTGCAAACATTTCTGAATTGACAGTTATTTAGCTGGGATCTCATCTGTAACAACTATTGTTCATATATATGTAACACTCAGAAACGTGTCCTTCCCCCCAAACGTGTCCGATTCCCCCAAACGTGTCCACATGACGTCACTGAACTGCAAAACATGTCTTAATGTCAAAGGGCGCCAAAGCGTGTCATTTGTATAAACACCCAAACGTGCCCGATACCCCAAACGTGTCCAATCCCCCAAACGTGTCCATATCAAGCTTAATTTTTTTCCTTTACTGGAACTATCATTCGTGTCCATATTATAAATTCGTATGTTATATTGCTTTTTCATTAACGTATACACATTTTACTATTTCATTAAAAAAATACAAATAAATTACTTTAGGTCTTTTTTTAACCGGCAGTATAATCTGAGTAAAAGTGCCAATATGTTCGGCTATGTTGGATGTAAATGTAAGCAGCCATGCTCAGTTCATTTGTAGATATTAAATCAAATACCTCGTGTAGGGAGAATGTCACTCTCTCTGCGCATTAAAACCTGTGTAGCAATTCACTCTTTCATGGTGCCATCAGTTGTATTTTGGAAGGCAACATTCTTTTTTTTTTAATTTCCGCAACTTTTATTTAAAACGGCCTCTTACATAACGGAGATTGAAGTAGTTTCTTACTGAAGTCATAAAAAATTTGGTTGTTACTGGCTCTTAAATTTTTAGATTAAAACCCCAACTAGTGTTAATCCCGAATAACCGTAAAAATTTAGGCCTAATCCTAAATTCCCGGTATGATAATAAAACCTATGTACAGTATTTATTGTTAACATGATGTCGTTCAAATAATGCATGAAATATTTGGCACTGGACGTTATGTCTCTTGTTTGTGTGTCTTTAGTGATGCTCGAAACCTAAAATTTATTAAAAAAACCTGATAAACAGTAAACTTTTGATTTGAAGAGTTTTTAAAATACCAGAACTGTTGAAAAAAGGGAAGTCAATTCTGCGGAAAGCCCGCCGTGCAATATTCGGTTTAATATAAAAGGCATCATCAGAATTTATTAGTACAAAATAATTCACTTGGTGAACGATTAATTCAACTGTACTAAAATTATTTGTATGTTCGCTCTAAATCAGAATGCAATACTTGCAACTTGCATTTCAGTCAAAAGTTAATTCATATGTTACAGATTAAATTTGCAATTATGATAATCATTAACAACCGGCATTGAACAAACTAATGATAATAAATGACCACTTCATCAACTGTGTCCCCCATCATAGAATTGCCGTAAACGTTATTGATGTCATTTGTATATGTATTAGCGCTAAAAGACGTGAGACGTTCTGGCGTTTAACAGTGGACACGTTTTGGCGAAAAACAATTATCGGACACGTTTGGGGGTTATGAAATCGGACACGTTTGGGCAATATTGAATATAACGGACACGTTTGGGGAGAATGGACACGTTTGGGGGAATCGGACACGTTTGGGGGGATGGACACGTTTGGGAGTGTTACATATATGTCTGTAATATCTAACAGACATCATATCTGAGTAAAAAGAGATTGTCCCATAGCTGAGCAACCAAAAAAATGGTGATATTTTCCCAAAAATAAACATATGTTTTGTTATATTGCAGAAAATACAACGATGGATCTCAATGATTTACTGGGTATGGAAAACTATCCCAGTGAACTGATGACAGACTTACCTGATGATTTTCCTGTAAGTTTTACTTGTTTAAAATGTAGGTCAACCTATCCTAAAGGTGACTATTCATGACTATTATTTTTTGGGCCTGTTGAGTTTCTTGAGAGAGGAGTTTTCTGTGTGACCAGCTTGTTTCTATACTTACAACAGACAATTTAAGAAGTCATGTTTCACCTAAGAAATACACAAACTTAAATAATATTTTGAAAGTTCACACTCGAATAGATCAGCTTTACAATGTGTTATAAGTCGGAAAGCTGACCCCGGTATGACCCAATTTCTTAAAACAACAATGGAGGTCATGTGACTACCGTATTTGAGCATATCTTCTGCATTTTTTATTCAACTGCGACAAGTTGGTTTCTTTCAAAAAGTAGTATCAACTCAAATCAAAGCATGCTGTACATTAACATGACAATATGTATCTGCATAATTTTTTTTCACTATGATAATGGTCAAATGATGGTTTATTTAATTATACTTCTCAGTAATGTCTTTCAAATGGCCTTCAAAATTGCCCCTTGGGGGCTAGTAAATGAGCAGTGTTCTGAAGATAACAGACAAATGAGATTTTCATTGTCCATGAAATTACACTTAAATGATTAGTAAAGACATCTTCAAAGGACAGACAATTAAGAATTCTATAAGAGCAAAGAAGTCCTAAGAATTCAGGAAAAGAAGATTGGATGACTTTTTGACTTGTATAAGTAAAAAAGTCTGAATGTCTAAGGGACATAACTAAGCCAAAAAATTATTTACCTATACAAGTAAATAAAATACACTTGTATAAGTATCCTACAAATTTACTTATATAAGTATATTAATATTTACTTCTTTAAGTAAATAAAAATTACTTGTACAAGTAGTACCCCTGACTGAATGAGCATAGAGCATGACATGAAGGAATTATTTCTTAAATAGAGAAAAACAGTTTTAAAATTAAAGAATACAGAAATGATGACATCGCCATCCAGACCCTCATAAATTGTTTCCTTCTGATCAAGATTTCAGTTGTTTGTGTCAACTAATTTTAAAGGTTTTATTGTGCAATTTACATTGTAAATCATTGTTTTCTACATAATCAATCTTGAGCACTGATGTATCTGTATATTGATGAATGTCTAGGCTATTTGTAGTATGAAACATTCAATCATCTTCTTTTCATTTCAAATTTTGTCAATACAGTTCAGATCAAACTAGAACAATTTTTTCGGCAAATCCAAACCGTGTGTATTTCTTAATTAATTTTTTATCAATACAAAAGTTATGTTGAAAATTAATCACACATATTGATGGGGTTATCAAAATTAATGTAATTTTTATGAAAACTAAAGTTCTAACTTCTCATGCAAAGTTCTAATTAATGTACATGAATCTATAGACAGTTTTTGTCGAGCCTGCGACTTTTGTCGCAGAAAGCTCGACATATTGATAGTGATCCGGCGGCGGCGGCATCGTTAGCTAACTTCTTCAAAGCTTTATATTTTAGAAGGTGGAAGATCTGGATGCTTCATACTTTGTTTATGGATGCCTCATGTTACGAAGTTTCCGTCAGTCACATTTCCAATGTCCTTGACCTCATTTTCATGGTTCAGTGACTACTTGAAAAAAAAGTGAAGATTTTTTGTAATGTTAAATTCTCTCTTATTATAAGTAATAGGATAACTATATTTGGTATGTGTGTACCTTGCAAGGTCCTCATGCCCGTCAGACAGTTTTCACTTGACCTCGACCTCATTTCATGGATCAGTGAACAAGGTTAAGTTTTCGTGGTCAAGTCCATATCTCAGATACTATAAGCAATAGGTCTAGTTTATTCAGTGTATGGAAGGACTGTAAGGTGTACATGTCCAACTGGCAGGTGTCATCTGACCTTGACCTCATTTTCATGGTTCAGTGGTTATAGTTAAGTTTTTGTGTTTTGGTCTGTTTTTCTTATACTGTATGCAATAGGTCTACTATATTTGGTGTATGGAATGATTGTAAGGTGTACATGTCTAGCTGGCAGGTGTCATCTGACCTTGACCTCATTTTCATGGTTCAGTGGTCAAAGTTAAGTTTTTGTCGAGCCTGCGACTTTTGTCGCAGAAAGCTCGACTTTGGGATAGTGATCCGGAGGCGGCGGCGGTGTTAGCTTACTTCTTAAAAGCTTTATATTAGGGAAGGTTTTTCTTCAACTATAAGCAATAGCTCAACTATATTTGATGTATGGAAGGATTGTAAGGTGTATATGTCTGTCTGGCAGGTATCATCTGACCTTGACCTCATTTTCATGGTTCATTGGTCAATGTTAAGTTTTCATGGTTAAGTTTGTTTCTTAGATACTATAAGCAATAGGTCAACTATATTTAATGCCTAAATTGATTGTAAGGTGTACATGTCTGTCTGGCATGGTTCATCTGACCTTGACCCCATTTTCATGGTTCATTGGTCAATGTTACGTTTTCTTCATGTTTAAGACTGTTTCTTAGAAACAATAAGCAATAGGTCAACTATGTTTGGTTTATTGAATGATTGTAAGGTGTACATGTATTTCTCGTTTGGTTTATCTGACCTTGACCTCATTTTCTTGGATCATGTTAAGTTTATGTGTTACTTGTGGTAAAGCTTTGTATTTAGGACTAGCAACATAAAATCAATGGTAAGTAAAGAAGGCGAGACATTTCAGAGTGTGCACTCTTGTTGAGTTTTGGTTTTTTTTTCTAATACTATATGCAATAGTTCAACTATAGTTGGTGTATGGAAATATTTTATGATCTATATGTCAGTCACGCCGGTTTTATTTGACCTTGACCTCATTTTCAAGGTTCATTGCTCAGTGTTAAGTTTTTGTGTTTTGGTCTGTTTTTCTTAAACTATAAGCAATAGGTCAACTATATTTGTTGTATGGAAGAATTGTTAGCTGTACATTCCTGCCTAGCATGGTTTATCTGACCTTGACCTCATTTTCATGGTTCATTGGTCAATGTTTAGTTTACTTGGTTAATGTTAAGTTTATGTGACAGTTGTAATAAAGCTTTATATTTAGGACTATCAACATAATATCAATGATTAATAAAGAAGGCGAGACATTTCAGCGTGTGCACTCTTGTTGTTATTATTTTAAATTATGGAGAACCATTTGTAGCCACATCATTGATATAATAATCAATTGAAAAAATACATATTAATATTGGTCCATTTTAATAATATAACTGTCACCGATTTCATAAATAGGTTTATTAGATAGAGCGCATTAAACACAGCAATTTGACTTAAACATTTGTCTAATGAGTCGATACTTCTGCTTGAGGACGGTTAGTCTCCATGTTTTTTGCTGACTATTAGTCATTGCTTTGGAATCTAATAAACCATTAATTTTGACATTCCCAAATATGCTCCATGTTAAAAATTATTTAATGCAAGCAATATTTACATTAAATTCATATACACGTTCTAGAACAGATGTTTAAATATCTCATGTTACAACTATTTTCATCACTAATGAAACAGCACTCGATAAACATGATAAAGTTGTTGCGTCAAACACTCTTTTTTTATGCCCCTGCTGTAGTGGAGGGGGCATTAAGTTTTACCCTTGTCTGTCTGTATGTCCTTTCGTCCCTAAATTGGTTTCTCTAACTTTAGTTTGCCTCAATTAAATGTTATGAAACTTATACACAATGCTTATAACAACAAAACACAGATCAGGTTTGAATTAGGGTTGCGTCAATTTTACCTTTCTATAGTTATGCCCCTTTACAAATGGAAAAATTGCTGAATTTTTCGGTTCTGTTCTCTTTAGTTTGCCTCAACCAAATGTTATGAAACTTAAGATACAATGCATATTACCACAAAACTCTGATCAAGTTTGAATTTTGGTGGCATCACTTTTACCGTTCTTGAGTTATGCCCCTTTACAAATGGAAAAATTGCTGAATTATCGTTTCCGTTCTATAACTTAAGTTTGCCTGAACCAAATGATATGAAACTTATACACAATGCTTATTACCACAAAACTTAGATCAAGTGTGAATTTAGGTAGCGTCATTTTTATACGACCGCAAAAAAATTTTGTGGTCGTATATTGGTATGACGTTGGCGTCGTCGTCGTCGTCGTCGTCGTCCGAAGACACATTGGTTTTCGCACTCTAACTTTAGTTTAAGTGAATGGATCTTTTTGAAATTTGACCATAAGGTTAAATACCACAAAAGGAAGGTTGGGATTGATTTTGGGGGGTATGGTACCAACAGTTAAGGAATTAGGGGCCAAAAATAAGCATTTTCTAGTTTCCAGACAATAACTGTGGAACGGTGTATGGATCTCTCTGAAATTATACTACAAGTTTCCATACCACAAAGGGATGGTTAGGATTTTGCTTTGGGGGGTTATGGCTCAAACCGTTTAGGAATTAGGGGCAAAAAAGGGGGAAAAACAAGGTTGTCCTGGTTAATGGACAAATACTTTAGTACAAAACATAATTTAAAGCAGTGTAAGGGAGATAAATCAAATACATCATTGAAATTATCTCCCTTACACTGCTTTTAAATTATGTATAAAGTAATGGTTAATGAACAATAAAGATAATTTAAAACAGTGTAAGGGAGGTAATCCAAATACAACGTTTTGGTTACTTCCCTTACACTGCTTTTAAATTATGTTTAAAGAAATGCATATTTATAAAGGAAGACCAGTAAAAATATCTGCAAATGTTGCATCTTTTTTTTTTACAAAAAAATCCATATGAAAGATTTGACACTATATTTTTATTAATTCTATTATAAAATAGATTAAGTTAGCACTATGGTAAATTTAAATGGGTAATTATGGTTGCCAACTCCATTGGAAATTTGAATTGAGATTATGACCATATCTTGAGGGAAAGAATTTTTTTGGGGAAAAAAAGGGGGGGGGGGTGGATAAAAAGAAATTGTGGGGGGTCAATTTTTTCTCATTTCAGATTTCAGAAATTAAAAAGAATTATTCTTCAAATATTTTTTTTTTCAAATTTCAAATATTGAAAAATTTCAAGAAGTAATCTTTAATTGCACAGTATGGCGCATTAGATTTGTAAAATCTTTGATCACATTTATTTATTTGTTATGCCGAATCTAACAGTGTATTTAGATTTTTAATTTTGGGTCCAGTTTTCAAATTGGTCTACATTAAGGTCCAAAGGGTCCAAAATTAAACTTTGTTTGATTTTAGCAAAAATTGAATATATGAGGTTCTTTGATATGCTGAATCTAAACATGTATTTAGATTTTTGATTTTTGGCCCAGTTTTCAAGTTGGTCCAAATTGGGGTCCAAAATTAAACTTTGTTTGATTTCAACAAAAATTGAATATATGGGGTTCTTTGATATGCTGAATCTAACCATGTATTTAGATTTTTTATTTGTGGACCCTGTTATCAAATTGGTTCATATTGAGGTCAAAAGGGTCCAAAATTAAACTTTGTTTGATTTCATCAAAAATTGAATTATTGGGGTTCTTTGATATTCCAAATCTAACCGTGTATTTAGATTTTTAATTTTGGGTCCTGTTTTTTAAATTGGTCTACATTAAGGTCCAAAGGGTCAAAATTAAACTTAGTTTGATTTTAACAAAAATTGAATTCTTGGGGTTCTTTGATATGCTGAATCTAAACATGTGTTTAGATTTTTGATTATGGGCCCAGTTTTCAAGTTGGTCAAAGTTGGGGTCCAAAATTAAACTTTGTTTGATTTCAACAAAAATTGAATATATGGGGTTCTTTGATATGCTGAATCTAAACATGTATTTAGATTTTTGATTATTGGCCCAGTTTTCAAGTTGGTCCAAATTGGGGTCCAAAATTAAACTTTGTTTGATTTCTACAAAAATTGAATATATGGGGTTCTTTGATATGCTGAATCTAACCATGTATTAAGATTTTTTATTTGTGGACCCCGTTATCAAATTGGTTCATATTGAGGTCAAAAGGGTCCAAAATTAAACTTTGTTTGATTTCATCTAAAATTGAATTATTGGGGTTCTTTGATATTCCAAATCTAACCGTGTATTTAGATTTTTAATTTTGGGTCCTGTTTTTTAAATTGGTCTACATTAAGGTCCAAAGGGTCCAAATTTAAACTTAGTTTGATTTTAACAAAAATTGAATTCTTGGGGTTCTTTGATATGCTGAATCTAAACATGTGTTTAGATTTTTGATTATGGGCCCAGTTTTCAAGTTGGTCCAAGATAGGGTCCAGTATTTAAACTTTGTTTGATTTCAACAAAAATTGAATATATGGGGTTCTTTGATATGCTGAATCTAAACATGTATTTAGATTTTTGATTATTGGCCCAGTTTTCAAGTTGGTCCAAATTGGGGTCCAAAATTAAACTTTTGTTTGATTTCAACAAAAATTGAATATATGAGGTTTTTTGATATGCTGAATCTAACCATGAATTTAGATTTTTTATTTGTGGGCCCCGCTATCAAATTGGTTCAAATTGAGGTCAAAAGGGTCCAAAATTAAACTTTGTTTGATTTTATCTAAAATTGAATTATTGGGGTTCTTTGATATTCCAAATCTAACCGTGTATTTAGATTTTTAATTTTAAGTCCCGTTTTTTAAATTGGTCTACATTAAGGTCCAAAAGGTCCAAAATTAAATTTAGTTTGATTTTAGCAAAAATTGAATTCTTGGGGTTCTTTCATATGCTGAATCTAAACATGTGTTTAGATTTTTGATTATGGGCCCAGTTTTCCACCTTGTCCAAGTTGGGGTCCAAAATTAAACTTTGTTTGATTTTAACAAAAATTGAATAAATGGGGTTCTTTGATATGCTGAATCTAACCATGTATATTTTGATTTTGGACATTGGACCATAATAGGTAAATTAAAAAAATTCAAGTTCTTAGACCACATTCTTTCTGTGTCAGAAACCTATGCTGTGTCAAATATTTAATAACAGTCCAAATTCAGAGCTGTATCAAGCTTGAATGTTGTGTCCATACTTGCCCCAACTGTTCAGGGTTCGACCTCTGCGGTCGTATCAAGCTGTGCCCCAGCGAAGCATTTTATTACCGTTCTTGAGTTATGTCTCTTTAAAACGTTATATGCAAGGGGGGCATCATCTGTGTCCCATGGACACAAACCCCATTTATTTGAATATACCTTCACCAAGAACTCGCAAACACCAAAAAATTGAAAGCCAAGGTTGTATAAATACTTGAATACCCAAAGAGCATATGATTAATTAAAAGGGACATACAGAGAATAGCCAAATTCACCAAAGATCAACATTACCTTATGGAGTTGAAACCTTAGTTTCTTATTTTTGGAATTGTAAATTGCATTTTTGGGTAAAGATTGCATGAAATGCAATCAAAACCCTGTTACTGACTTGATATCTAAATCTTCCAAGGTTTATCACTACCTTTGAGATACACAAAATATAGTGCATTGATCATATATATATATAACATTCTATACATCCTATCCATGAACATTTCCAGAAATTTATCAATGAAATATATGCTCAGATATTCAAGTCACAAAATGATGTTACACTTGTCAAGAAAATTACATAACTTTTGCAAGGTGCAGGAATCTAATTTCTGTTCTAAAAATATCAATGATGTCATTGTTTAAGTCATCTTTAAAAATTGGAGTTATCTTCTTTTGTCCAGAATTGTAGTTGAATCAACTACAACCAATGCTTTATACAATGCAATATTTAATTTTACTTCCCACTGATAAATTAAAGCAATCTTTACCCTTCAGTGCTTACAAGCACTTTGATTCTGTATGATGTTATTTACATAAACTTACCTGATGATTTTCCCGTAAGTTATACTTTTTTTGTTCAAAATGTAGGTCAACCTGTCCTAAAGGTGATTATTCAAATTTATTATTTTTGGGGCCTGTTTAGTTTCATGAGAGAGGAGTTCTAGTAAAGATGAGAAATCCTGAAAAAAAAATAACTTCAATTTGAACTATGTACATGACTACATGCATATACATGTATGTCATACTCTAGTTATAATGCAATAATTATTTTCCAAAATAATAAAATTTATAGAAACCAAATAGTTATGATTATTATGATTTTGTTTAATGTCACAATAATTTCATAACGCTCCAATGATTTCTTCGCATAATCTTGAAGTCAATAGATTTAAATAAATCCCAACATTTTTTTTTATACAGAATTTTCTTATCTGTATGCAAATGAACACATGTTATACATGTCATGCATGTTATAAGATTGTACTAAAGATTACTTCACACATGTAATAAATTTGAATATTAAATAGCGGATTGAACCTTTATCTTATTTGATTTCAGATGAATATAGATGATGTACAGACAGATTTTCATGATACTTTATTACAAGAATACAGTGACAGTTCTGATAGTGGAATTAGCAGTAAGTTTATGACTTTGCCAAACATTGCCATGGTATATTAGTTGCATATAATGGGTAGCACTTCTTTTCACTTTTTAGCCCCCTACCGACGAAGTCTGATGATTTTGTGCAGAGTTATGGTTCTTGAACTTAGAAAATTCACTCAAGTTATCAGTTTTCCACACTTTTTTTGTCATGCTTGAAGATATTGATTTGATAATTGTTATATAGTTTTATCATGACAAGTAACAGATCAAGTTTGAATTTTGTTCTTGTCTGATGATATTGTGCAGAGTTATGGTCCTTGGACATAGAAAATTCACTCAAATAATCAATTTTTATACTGACCGCAAAAATTGAAAATTTTTTGGTCGTATATTGGTATGACGTTGGCGTCGTCGTCGTCGTCTGGCGTCGTCCGAAGACACATTGGTTTTCGCACTCTAACTTTAGTTTAAGTGAATGGATCTCCATGAAATTTTACCATAAGGTTCAATACCACGAAAGGAAGGTGGGGATTGATTTTGGGGGTTATGGTACCAACAGTTAAGGAATTAGGGGCCAAAAAGGGGCCAAAAATAAGCATTTTTGTAACTTCCAGACAATAACTTGTGTGTAAGTGTATGGATCTCTCTGACATTGTACCACAAGGTTCCATATCACAAAGGGAAGGCTGTAATTGATTTTGGGCGTAATTGCCTCAAAATTTTAGGAATTAGGGGCCAAAAAAGGGGCAAAAAACAAGCATTTTTCTAGTTTCATGACAATAACTTGTGTGTAAGTGTTTGGATATTTCTGAAATTGTACATCAAGGTTCCATATCACAAAGGGAAAGCTGGAATTGAGTTTGGGGGTAATTGCCCGAAACGTTTAGGAATTGGGGGCCAAAAAGGGGCCAACAATAAGCATTTTTCTAGTTTCCAGACAATAACTTGTGTTCAAGTGTATGGATCTCTCTGAAATTGTACTGCAAGGTACCATACCACAAAGGGAAGGCTGGGATTGAGTTTGGGGGTGATGAATCATAAGGGGGTTCAAAAAATTTGTGGGGGGGATTTTTTTTTTCTTTTTTTTTTCTTTTTTTCCTTTTTTTTTTCTTTTAAAATTTTCCATTTTAAGTTGGTTATTTCTGATTAATATTTAAAAGCAAATAATAATGATATGGTAGGAGATACACACCAAACAGGATGTGTAAATTATTATATAATAAGTATTGTGCAATAGCAAGAAATTTTCAATTGCACAGTATTGCACAATTGCAAGAAATCTTCAATTGCACAGTATTGCGCAATAGCAAGAAATCTTCAATTGCACAGTATTGCGCAATAGCAAGAAATATCCAATAGCACAATATTGCGCAATAGCAAGAAATTGTCAATTGTACAGTATTGCACAATAGCAAGAAATATTCAATTGCACAGTATTGTGCAAAAGAAGATACTTCGTATAAATTGCTTATTTCTTGATCAATTTCAATGGGGTTTTATTCTTGAATTCTTGGGGTTCTTTAATATGCTGAATCTAACCGTGTATTAAGTTTTTGGATTTTGGGCCCCGTTTTTAAATTGGTCCACATTGAGGTCCAAAGGGTCCAAAATTTAACTTTGTTTGATTTCATCAAAAATTGAATTATTGGGGTTCTTTGATATGCCGAATCTAACCGTGTATTTAGATTCTTAATTTTTGGTTCCGTTTTCAAATTGGTCTACATTAAGGTCAAAAGGGTCCAAAATTAAACTTAGTTTGATTTTAACAAAAATTGAATTTTTAGGGTACTTTGATATGCTGAATCTAAACATGTATTTAGATTTTTGATTATGGGCCCAGTTTTCAAGTTGGTCCAAATCGGGGTCCAAAATTAAACTTTGTTTGATTTCAAAAAAAATTGAATATATGGGGTTCTTTGATATGCTGAATCTAACCATGTATTTAGATTTTTGATTTTTGGGCCCCGTTATCAACTTTGTCCACATTGAGGTCAAAAGGGTCCAAAATTAAACTTTGTTTGATTTCATCAAAAATTGAATTCTTGGGGTTCTTTGATATGCTGAATCTAACCATGTATTTAGATTTTTTATTTGTGGACCCGCTATCAAATTGGTTCATATTGAGGTCAAAAGGGTCCAAAATTAAACTTTGTTTGATTTCATCAAAAATTGAATTATTGGGGTTCTTTGATATGCCAAATCTAACCGTGTATTTAGATTTTTAATTTTGGGTCCTGTTTTTAAATTGGTCTACATTAAGGTCCAAAGGGTCCAAAATTAAACTTAGTTTGATTTTAACAAAAATTGAATTCTTGGGGTTCTTTGATATGCTGAATCTAAACATGTGTTTAGATTTTTGATTATGGGCCCAGTTTTCAAGTTGGTCCAAGTTGGGGTCCAAAATTAAACTTTGTTTGATTTCAACAAAAATTGAATATATGGGGTTCTTTGATATGCTGAATCTAAACATGTATTTAGATTTTAGATTTTTGGCCCAGTTTTCAAGTTGGTCCAAATTGGGGTCCAAAATTAAACTTTGTTTGATTTCAACAAAAAATTGAATATATGGGGTTCTTTGATATGCTGAATCTTACCATGTATTTAGATTTTTTATTTGTGGGCCCGCAATCAAATTGGTTCATATTGAGGTCAAAAGGGTCCAAAATTAAACTTTGTTTGATTTCATCAAAAATTGAATTATTGGGGTTCTTTGATATGCCAAATCTAACCGTGTATTTAGATTTTTAATTTTGGGTCCCGTTTTTTAAATTGGTCTACATTAAGGTCCAAAGGGTCCAAAATTAAACTTAGTTTGATTTTAACAAAAAATGTAATTTTTTGGGTTCTTTGATATGCTGAATCTAAACATGTGTTTAGATTTTTGATTATGGGACCAGTTTTCAAGTTGGTCCAAGTTGGGGTCCAAAATTTAACTTTGTTTGATTTCAACAAAAATTGAATATATGGGGTTCTTTGATATGCTGAATCTAAACATGTATTTAGATTTTAGATTTTTGGCCCAGTTTTCAAGTTGGTCCAAATTGGGGACCAAAATTAAACTTTGTTTGATTTCAACAAAAATTGAATATATGGGGTTCTTTGATATGCTGAATCTTACCATGTATTTAGATCTTTTATTTTGTGGGCCTGCTATCAAATTGGTTCATATTGAGGTCAAAAGGGTCCAAAATTAAACTTTGTTTGATTTCATCAAAAATTGAATTATTGGGGTTCTTTGATATGCCAAATCTAACCGTGTTTTTAGATTTTTAATTTTGGGTCCCGTTTTTTAAATTGGTCTACATTAAGGTCCAAAGGGTCCAAAATTAAACTTAGTTTGATTTTAACAAAAATTGAATTCTTGGGGTACTTTGATATGCTGAATCTAAACATGTGTTTAGATTTTTGATTATGGGACCAGTTTTCAAGTTTGTCGAAGTTGGGGTCCAAAATTAAACTTTGTTTGATTTCAACAAAAATTGAATATATGGGGTTCTTTGATATGCTGAATCTAACCATGTATTTTGATTTTGGACATTGGACCATAATAGGTAAATTAAAAAAATTGAAGTTCTTAGACCACATTCTTTCTGTGTCAGAAACCTATGCTGTGTCAAATATTTAATCACAATCCAAATTCAGAGCTGTATCAAGCTTGAATGTTGTGTCCATACTTGCCCCAACTGTTCAGGGTTCGACCTCTGCGGTCGTATCAAGCTGCGCCCAGCGAAGCATTTTATTCCACATTTGTTTTTGTCATGCTTGAAGATATTGACTTGATATTTGTTATATAGTTTACATCATGACAAGTTAAAGATCAAGTTAGTATTTTGTTCCAGTACGATGAATTTTTAACCGGTATGGGACTATGTATTGCCAGGCAATACTCATAGAATGCTTGTTTTTATTAGTTATTAAAAATATGTTTTCACATAATATCTTTAATAGTAAGATTGGAACATCTAATGACCCAATCTTTTAAAAAAGTTGATAAATCCACCCTGTCATATCTGTTATGTCATACAAGATATATACATTGTACAAACAATCCATGCCCTTATTTTTTTATGCAAGATGTGTTTTCTTCAGTCCCTCAAAAATGGATTGGTCCAAGGTCCAATACCTATGAATGTTATGTAATGTTTGTTCATAACTTTATGTTTGATGTCTAAAGTACCTTTTAAATATCTGCTTGTTTGAATGATAATATATATACATGTACTGGTACCCTTAGTATGCTTTAATTTAGCATTAACAGTTTTGTCAATAAAATTTATGATGCATATGTAGGATGAGTTTAAAGAAATACAGCATACTAATTAAACCATCAGGAATCTACTTTATATCAGTAACCAGAAATGATAAATGCAAATGCAGGCTTTCAGTTTCATAGATATAAAAAAAACTGAGAAATAAAGCAGATAAGATAGGTACTTACAAAGGGGTTAACTGGGATGAAGTGTAGGAAGTTTAGAATACCACTGGAAAAAAGGGAATTGTAAAGTTGAAAGTTTTTGAAAGGGATTATTTTTCGCTAATTTCATCATTAAGGTAATATCTCTAAATATCCCCTCACAGAAAATTTGACCATTGATTTGCAGAATATGCAAATGCAGGCTTTCAGTTTCATAGATATACTGATGCTTTTAAATTTGTATGTTACAGATTATATATATATATCATTTCAATCGATAGAAAAACAATTTTTTGTTATAATGGTAATACATAATACATTGTATGTTGCACTTGGCAAAAAGGGATAAATTATGATTGACTACTCTTCCTATAACAAATCCAATAAGGTGATTAATGTTATACATTGTATTCATGTAATTTTGCACCAGGTTTGTTGTGTTTATTTGATCAGTTGAGCACAATAATGTAAGGTGTTTAAATACTTGTTAAAAATGCGGTTCAACCACAGTACAAGCCAATGGAGTAAGTCAAGAATTTTAGTTGATAAATTCACTGTTTTTGTCTCGCCTTGACGGAGTCAAAAAGTGAGACATAGGTATGCTGTTTCCCGTTTCCGACGTCAGTGGCGGCAGCATTGTCAAAAATGTATTAGTTTGTGATTAGGTCAGTTTCTTGGGAACCACTAATGGTAGGTCAATAATATTTGGTATGCAGCTGTATTAACATTGGCAAATCTCATTTCCATGGACATTATTTGACCCTACCCTCTCGGGCATGGTCTATTGACTTTGAAACATTTGCTTAGGTGACATGTATTAGGTCAGTTTATGGAGAACCTATAGTGGTAGGTCAATGATATTTGGTATACAGTTGCATTGGCACATCTCAATTCCATGGATATTTTTTGGCCATGTACCTTCAGTCATGGTTCATTGACTTTCAATATTTTGCATAACTTACATGTTAAAGTATTGCTATTTTAATTTTTTGCATTTTACTATCAAAATAATAAAAAAGTGAGACATATCTCTGTGTTAGCAGTTTATTTAAATAGCATTTGGTGATTGATGGGTGATAAAAATCTGATGTATAAACCAACTATTCTATCATCTCTATACAAAGCACAAAAATGTCGTCATTCACCTCAAAAGCTAACCAAACCTTTAAACAGACTTATTCAGAAGGGATATAGTTATGATACTGTTTTCTGTCATTAAAGATGGTATTTTTGGAATTAATATTGATACACTCATAGGGTCTTTGCATCAGAAATATTTCAAATAAACACATCTATTCTAAAACCAGTTGTTGGCATCATACAGGTTATGTTCTTCCTGGATATTTTACGATGGTATGATACTAAATTATTAATGGGAAGGATTGTGCTTGATTTTCATATGATGAAGACCTAATCTTTCAATTAGTTAAATTGAGGTCTGGAGCTGGCATGTCCGTAACTGCTAGTAGTCATTGTTAATTTATGTTGATCTGACATTGTCATTTTGCTTAGTTTCTTCTGTTACCTATTCTAACATCCATTGTTAATTTATGTTGATCTGACATTGTCATTTTGCTTAGTTTCTTCTGTTACCTATTCTAACATCGGACTCTGACTTTTTTAAAACTTGAGTTTTACTGTGCCTATTGCTGTGTGTTTGTTTATGCTACATTGGCTAGAGGTATAGGGGGAGGGATGAGATCTCACAAAACATGTTTGACCCCGCCGCATTTTTGCGCCTGTCCCAAGTCGGGAACCTATGGCCTTTGTTAGTCTTGTATGTTTTTTTAATTTGGGTACATTTATATGTTTCGGAGTTTAGTGTGACATTCATTTTCTCTGAACCAGTATACATTTTAGTTTAGGGCCCAGCTGAAGCCCGCCCCCGGGTGCAGGATTTTCCCGCTGTGTTGAAGATCCATTGGTGGCCTTGAGCTGTTTTCTGCTGTTTGGTTGAGTTGTTGTCTCTTTGACACATTCCCTGTTTCAATTATCAATTTTATATTTTAACATAATATTTATTGAAAGTACAAAGACATATTTCAAGACAAGACAGAATGAATTATATGTTTGCAGTATGTGATTCACTCATTGTTGAAGGCCGTACAGTGATGTGTAGTTGTTAACTTCTACATCATTTGATTCATTTCGGTCTCTGATGGAGAGTTGTCTCATTGGGAATTAAACATACCATATCTACTTATTATATAATATAGCATTCATAAGGATTCACTTTGACAAATCAACACCAAAATTGTATTTTTATGCATGCTGATCCCACTTGCATGATTGATTGATTGTGTTTGCAAACACCCAGTGGCAAATTTTTCATGCTTATGCAGGACCAGAAGACATCAAATAATATGGCAGATAGATAGGTACTTACAAAGGGGTTAACTGAAGTGTTGGAAGTTTAGTATACCACTTTAAAAAAGGGTATTGTAAAGTTGAAAGTTCTCATAAGGGATTATTTTTTGCTAATTTCATCATTAAGAAAATATCTCTAAATATCCCCTCACATAAATTTGATCATTGATGAAGATCAAAACAAGAAAAAAACACAAACATTTACAATAGTTAGAGATAAACTACTGTTTGTTAGATTGGACTTAAATATTGTCTTGCATCCAGAACTAGAGAGTGTATTGGACATAAATATTGTCCTGCATCCAGAACAAGAGAGTGTATTGGACATAAATATTGTCCTGCATCCAGAACTAGAGAGTGTATTGGAAATAAATATTGTCCTGCATCCAGAACAAGAGAGTGTATTGGACATAAATATTGTCCTGCATCCAGAACTAGAGAGTATTGGACATAAATATTGTCCTGCATCCAGAACTAGAGTGTGTATTGGACATAAATATTGTCCTGCATCCAAAACAAGAGAGTGTATTGGACATAAATATTGTCCTGCATCTAGAACTAGAGAGTGTACTGGACATAAATATTGTCCTGCATCCAGACCAAGAGAGTGTATTGGACATAAATATTGTCCTGCATCCAGACCTAGAGAGTGTATTGGAAATAGATATTGTCCTGCATCCAGAACTAGAAAGTGTATTGGTGCTACTCTCTCATCTAAAATAATAGATGATGATGGTGATGGCTGCTCCAAAATAATAGAAGAAGGAAGACAAACCATAAATACAAGTGTACTTTGAATTGTTTTATAAAATTATAATGTATTTAAAGGATGGAAACAGCTTGGAAGTGTCACTTAGTTTTTACCTTAGTTCCACCTGAACAATTTTTGTTTGCACACTGATATTGTTTGTAACAGCTCTTCATAAAATTTAAATAAGAATTGATGTCTTTCAAGAATATTGCAATTGGTTATCAATTGTTTATCATTTAGGCTGTAAACTACCTGTAAGAGTCCATTTTGAGACATGTGCCTTCTACATGTTCTAATTGATCACTGAACAAATTAGTTGAATATCTTTAACTTGAATGCTGATATTAGGTTTCAGTTGGACTATTATCATGATTATGAAGTATAATGTGTGTGTGTTTATTTCCTAAAACTAGTAACATAAATCAAACATAATGTAATGCATGCATTTTAGGGTATCTTTTCCTTTTTTCTTCATATCACAAGTTATTCTAACATTCTGCAGGGGGTCATTCCTTCCTTATTGAAATTATGCATAGTTCCAAAATTGTCAACTAACCCCACTAATTTTGATGCCCAAATGACCTTATTTTGGCATAAAAAAAATCTGAAAATGGCGTTAAAAAGACAATTTCCACAACACCAGCCAAAGAAAGCTCTGCATATGAAAACTAGCTGATTATCAATTATTCATGAGTATTGAAGGTCATGTTTTATGTAGAGTTAATATTCCAATAAGAACTATTCACTATAGTGTTATACATTTGTACTTAAATGTAGAACGTGAAATTAAACATTTAAAAATCTTATTGACATACTCCAAAATTTATAATCAGCTATTATTGTTTTATGCAGTTTTTTCATCACCTTTAATGCCAGGAATTGAGTAATGCAGTATTCATAATGGCTTTTCTTTAATTTATTAGGTATCTTGCCAGAAAATGTATTAAAACATGAACAGAGGTTAGACAGTTCACCAGACATCAAACATGAACCACTATCGCCATCATTTTCATTCACATCAGAATCCTCTGAATCACAGGTAAATATATTCTCCCAAATGTGTCTTCTGAATCACAGGTAAATATCTTCTTCCAAATGTGTCTTCTGAATCACAGGTAAATATCTTTTCCTAAATGTGTGTTCTGAATCACAGGTAAATATCTTCTCCCTAATGTGCATGTTTGCACCTGTCCTAAGTCAGGAGCCTCTGGCCTTTGTTAGTCTTGAATGTTTTTTTAATTTTAGTTCATTTATATGTTTTGGAGTTTAGTATGACGTCCATTTTCACTGAACTAGTACACATTTTTATTTAGGGGCCAGCTGAAGCCCGATTCCGGGTGCTTGATTTTCTCGCTGTGTTGAACACCCATTGATGGCCTTCGGCTGTTTTCTGCTCTTTGGTCGGGTTGTTGTCTCTTTGACATATTCCCCATTTCCATTCTCAATTTTATTTAAATATCTTTTCTCGAATGTTTCTTTTGAATCACAGGTAAATATATTATTCCTTATTGTGCTTTCTTAATCACAGGTAAATATCTTCTCTCAGATGTGTTTTCTGAATCACAGGTAAATATCTTCTCCCAAATGTGTGTTCTGAATCACAGGTAAATATCTTCGCCCTAATGTGTCTTCTTAATCCCAGGTAAATATCTTCTCCCTCATGTGTCTTCTGAATACCAGGTAAATATCTTCTCCCTTATCTGTCTTCTGAATCCCAGGTAAATATCTTCTCTCTAATGTGTCTTCTGAATCCCAGGTAAATATCTTCTCTCTAATGTGTCTTCTGAATCCCAGGTAAATATCTTCTCCCTTATTTGTCTTCTGAATCACAAGTAAATATCTTCCCCCTTATATGTCCTCTGAATAACAGGTAAATATCTTTTCTCGAAAGTGTCTTTTGAATTACAGGTAAGTATATTATTCCTTCCTGTGTTTTATTAATCACAGGTAAATATCTTCTCTCAGATGTGTTTTCTGAATCACAGATAAATATTTTCTCCTGTATGTGTCTACTGAATAAAAAAAATCAGTGATAGTAAGGCTGTATGTATCATCTTTAGATTGTAGGAGAACATGATGTCATAGACTGTCAAATATTAAGTAATTTTGTGTTAACCTTTGAAATCACATCTTATCCATTATGTCTGATGCAGTTGGTGTAAGAGTCAAACATTTCAACCTTCATTTCGTGAGATTTAGATACCCAACGAAGGTGCACTTGGTTAAAATGTTTTTGACCTGTTGGTCGTCACTTTCTCATCCCACAGTAGTTCCTTCAACACCAGCAAAACTTATTTTTAACTGAATAAACCGATGTGTATGGAATGTATTTCATTTGCTTAATTTTACCTGAACTATTTACATTTCAATAGATCAAAAAAATGTCTACGATTTTAGACAGAGTCTTTGTCAGGTGAATAAATAATATTCAATATACTTGTTTTTTATTTTTTTTTCATCTGATTTCCTTATAGGTTAGTTAAAAAAAAAGATTCAGAAAGTCAAGAGAGCTGATAATATTGTGAGACCTTGTCATGAAGCTATGATATGACGAAGACATGTCTTAACCTATGTTGATTAAATTACTTGAGACATGTCTAAATCCTATGTTGATTAAATTACTTGAGATATGTCTAAATCCTAAGACATCTTTGTTATACAGGCCCCTGGTTAGATAAAAGAAAAAGTCAAGAACTGGCTAATAAAAATTTGTCAATTCTGAAACCTTGCAGTCTTGATCATTGTTGATGGAGAAATTGATTTAAGTTCCAAACTTTTTGTAGCAATACAAGGTGCCAATAGTAACACAACTACATACCAAATAGCACAATATTAGCATCATTGATAAAAACACGTGGTAATGTTGAGTAAAGTGTAAGACATATACGATTTTCTTTACAGGTATGCCTTGATGGAGTGAAGGACAGCCCACCACCATCACCATGTTATTCACAGCCATCACCACCTTATTCTTCACAGTCATCACCATTACAGAACATTGTCTACGTAGATGACATCACACCAGATCTTAGTAGTGCTATAAACCCCGTTATCATTACACAACCTAAATACAACACTATACTGAACTCTAAAGTCAGGATTAAACCAAAACCAGTATCGTCAGTAAATACTCAATCTGTAAAAATCTCACAACCGAAACCACCAACAGGTACAGTATATTAGTCTAGGTTATTGGCAAATTTGTTTTAATATACAGAGTATATTGATTGTAATTGACCTGTTCAGAAAATCAACTTCCTAACCTTGTAAATAACTGTAAATTCAGAAATTGATTTCGAGGTTTTTATTAATGCGTATAATGCGACTGGGTGAGTATCGCAATAATAAGAACTAGCATTCTGATATCTGATTCATATTATAACTGTATATATAAATAAGAAGATGTGGTATGCATATTTACCTGAAATCGCAATAATTAGTATTCCATTTTTGTCCTTTTGGCTCTTATTTCTTCAAAAATCAGTCAAGATCAAAGTTTAATATATTAATTCAATTCTTTTACCTTTTTGTACTTATAGCTCCTCTTCAGAAAACAGTTGTAATAACACCAGAAGAGTTCAACAAACTGAAAGCAGAAGGGATATTGAAGTTCCCACAGCCAGCAGCTCCGCGACCTGTGCAGATTATTTCATCTACTACAGTAGCTAATCCCACAGTGCAAGTTGATAATGAGGTATTTATACCAGATTCCAAAGGAATGTTGAGAAAACTAGTTTAATAAACTGGTTGACTCCTGTCAGTTTTTCCTTCTGTTATCCCATGACTTTTTGAAAACTGCCAAATCAAATGGCAACATGTTACCCTTGACCGTCCATCCGTCCCATTTTTATTTCTGCACTCTAACCATAGTTTGCCTCATGCAAATTTAAAGAAACTCATACACAATGCTAAGAAACACAACACGCAGACATTTACCTTTCTAGAGTTAGGCCTCCTTTTAACTGAAAATTGCAACAAGGCTTGTAAATTGCATTGTTTTGAAACTCTGTTAAAGGTTAAATAAAAGATGTAGACAAATATTAGGATAGGAAATTGTTCGCTGAATGCATCACCAGTGTGCATTGTCAATAAAAACACATAGATTTTTGAAAGCATAATTTTCACTAAACAAGTGTATCATGAGAGATAGAGATGGCCATTTGATAAACAAGTGAAGACAGAGTTAAATATGAACATCAGTCTTTATGTGTGTTTCTTTTACAGTATCAAGACAACAAAAGAGAGAGAGAGAGAGAGAAAAAATGATAGAACTGAATGAATTGTATTTTCTGTCTTTTTTTTCCAGATAAAAGCTATAAAAAGACAGCAACGTATGATAAAAAATAGAGAATCAGCAAGCTTGTCAAGAAAGAGGAAAAAAGAGGTTTGTTATAGACATTTTTTAACTTAATCAGATTGAAAAGTTTATTAAAAGAACAGATTTCAAGTTTTTGAATAGGTCCGTTTAAGAGGAACCAATTATGATAAGTCAATAAGGGTTTGCATGCATTTATAGTACCATTGTCAACTCTCATAGCCATGAAGATTATTTGGTCCCACCTCCTCAGTCATGGTGGATTGACATTTTTGATTATGTCAGTTTAAAGGGATCCACAAATGGAAAGTCAATCTAAAACTTCCTTACAGACATGAGCATATGGAGACATGATTTATTTATTAGTTGTTATTGGCTTTGAACTAAATTTATGCACTGTGAGTTGTGTCTTTATTCTTTATATTAGTTGGTTGTTTTATTGCTGCTTTGTGCTGATCTGATGAGACAAGCAATTTCCAACTGATTTTTACAGTTTGTTCATATAATATGCTGTTAAACCACTGTCCCAGATTAGGGGAGGGTTGATCGCTCATTTTATGTACATGTAAAATCAGGACTGTTTACTCTTCCGATTTGCTATGTTCGATGCATTTAGATTTTAAGATTGCCAGGACTTAGTGCTTCTTTTATTTTTGCATAATTAAACATATTTATCATGAACCAAACCCCACTTCTATCTAATAGTTGATGAGCAGTAGACCGAACTAAAGGGATACTTATTACTTGAAAATAAATAGTTAAATACATAAGTATAATTTTCCTGTGTTTACCTAAAAAGGAATAATTTATATGGGTTTACCTGTCAAATGAATGTGCACAATTGAATAATAAAGCTGCCTGAAAACAATGATTTTTATGGGCAAATGTAATGGTAATGCACACAAATGTAATGGTAATGCACACAAATGTAATGGTAATGCACACAAATGTAATGCACTGTCTATTACCGTATTTGCAGTACCTCACAGGCTTAGAAGACAATTTACAAGAATACAATGAACAGAATAGAAAGTTGCAAGAAGAAAATGAGCTGTTGAAAAAGAAACTCCAGTCTCTGCAGGATGAGGTAATGTACACATTCAAGTTGATCTCAGTCCTAGGGACATTAAATTGTAGCTGTTATCATATTATACAAATTGCCTAATGAAATGGATATGATTTAACACTTTTCTTCCTTGATATTTATAATAACTTCCTGGCGTAGAGGAAAATTTTAATTGTAACTCTGTGAGAAAAAAATACTCACCACATGCCTGATTACTTTTTAGTAATTGTTACATTGAAAAAAATATGCATAGTTTGTAAATGATAAAAGTATTATTTAAACATGTACTATTCTCTACATTTAAATGGCCATTTAGCACTCTGCTTCTACAACTATTTCTTATAAGCATTTAGATGATTAAATTCTGAAGCAAAACTTGCTGCTACATACTAAAGATTAAGTTAAAGATTATATAGATGAGAACAAAAGGATATCATATTTTATGCTTATTAAAGATTAAGTTAAAGATTATATAGATGAGGACAAAAGGATATCATATTTTATGCTTATAAAAGATTAAGTTAAAGATTATATAGATGAGGACAAAAGGATATCATATTTTATGCTTATAAAGCTATTTTTAGACAAATTTACATTTTGATAAATTCTATGATTTTTCAAAAACTGTGATTCCAGCTCCTTCAAGAAAAGTTATTTATCAATGGTTTTGAATTGATTTCTTAAGGCCTCTTTAGATTAGTTTAAACAGTAATTTATTAATGAAAAATTATGACAATGAAGTAGTACAATGTTACATGAAATTCAAATATGGGATTCAGAAACAAGTTTGGAAAAACATTTATAAATCTCTTTAGATTACATACATCATTAATATACATAAACTCATCAAAGATACCAGGAATAAAATTTTGTACGCCAGACGCGCGTTTTGTCTACAAAAGACTCATCAGTGACGCTGGAATAAAAAAATTAAAAAGGCTATCTTTGAGTATTTCAGGTATAAATATATTAAGAAGAGTACTGGAAGTACGGCATAGGTTTCAATTTTAATGTACATACTGTATCCCTGTTCTTACTTTGAAATCAGTTGGGATTTAATGAAAATTTTCCATTGTAGAATGATAGATTAAAGAAATGTGCTGGTGCCTCACCAGCTAAAAAGATCTGTTTAATGGCAGTTTTTGCAATGCTCAGCTTGAATTTGATGTCATTGAAGTAAGTTTTTCAGAGTGCTAACAAATTTTAATCTAATTAGACAGGTGTTACCTTAAATTGATAAAGATATTGGGGAAATTAGGGGCAGTTGAAAGGCAATTTTTTCAAATCTACCACTAAAGATCTGTGAACCATTTGAACTCTGTTCTTGATGAATTGATGAACATTACTTAATCAAGATTTTAATTAGGATAAACTAATTATGAATAAATCCTAACCTTGTTAACACTGGAATAACAAACTTTACACAGCAGAATGTACAATGAAAACCTGTTTAATATAAGTACTATACTCTTTAAGGATGTTTGCTACTCGAGTTTTTGACTATTTGTCAGATATTAGGTATCCTTTACTTTTATCCATGTAGTGACAAACAAAATTTAGTCTGCTAACCCCTACTTTTCTTTTCTTTTATATATAGTTTAAAAGGCCATTTTTATAAGCCGTTTACGGGACGTATTATGGTATACCGTTGTCTATCTGTCCGTCTGTCCGTCCGTCTGTCCGTCCGTCATCAACATGTCAGACATTAACTCAAAAATGAATTGTTTATATCTATTGACATGAGCTCCCTTTCGTTTTTTATAAATTTTAGATTTTACGTTTCCGAGTTATGGGGTTTTATTCATTAAAAAAAGGGGGCTTTTCCAGTTTTCGGACAATAACTCAAGAATGCTTTCACCAACTTGCAAGAAATTTTGGTCAATTGTTTATATCTATTGACATGAGCTCACTTTTGATTTTTATAAATTTTAGATTTTACGTTTCCAAGTTACAGGGTTTTATTCATAAAAAAAAGGGGGATTTTCCAGTTTTCGGACAATAACTCAAAATTGCTTTCAGCAGTTCTCATGTAACTTTGATGAATTGTTGATATCTATTGATGTAAGCTCCCTTTAGAATTTTATAAATTTTAAATTTTACATTTCCGAGTTATGGGGTTTTATTCATTAAAAAAGGGGGGATTTTCCAGTTTTCAAACAATAACTCAAAAATGCTTTCAGCAATTCTTATGAAACTTTGGTGAATTGTTTATATCTATTGATGTAAGCTCCCTTTAGAATTTTATTAGTTTATAGTCTGACGACAGATTTACTAAGTATTGCGCAACAGCATAGTGTATTGCACCAAGAAATCTTTAATTGAATATAAATTCAATTCATATAACCAATTTCAAGTTCTTTGACTACATTTATTCAGAAACCTATAATATGTCAAATATTTAATTACAATCCAAATTCAGATCTGTATCAAGCTTGAATATTGTGTCCATTTTTGCCCCAACTGTTCAGGGTTGGACCTCTGCGGGCGTATCCAGCTGCGCTCAGCAAAGCAGTTTATTGAAAATGTGATGAAATCCTTGTTTTTTTCCATAGTTTTTGAAAGAAAAGGTGTCAATGTTATGTGTATGAAAAATATAGTTCATTTCCCCCCAAATTTTCAATAAATTATATCCCAGGGATACAGACCTTTAATTTTTCTTCTTTTTTAAGTTCGGTTATTTATATACTATCAATTTATAACAGTCTTTTTGTCGAGCCTTCGACTTTAGTTGAAAAAGCGAGACATAGCGATCCTACATTCCGTCGGCGTCGTCGTTGTCGTCGGCGGCGTCCACAAATATTCACTCTGTGGTTAAAGTTTTTGAAATTTTAATAACTTTCTTAAACTATCCTGGATTTCTACCAAACTTGGACAGAAGCTTGTTTATGATCATAAGATAGTATCCAGAAGTAAATTTTGTAAATAAATAAATCCATTTTTTCCTTATTTTACTTTTAAATGGACTTAGATTTTCTGCCAGGAAACAACATATTTACTCTGTGGTTAAAGTTTTTAAAATTTTAATAACTTTCTTATACTATTTTGGATTTGTACCAAACTTGGACAGAAGCTTGCTTATGATCAAAAGCTAGTATCTAGAAGGAAATTTTGTAAAAAAATAAATCCATTTTTTCCGTATTTTACTTTTAAATGGACTTAGATTTTCTGCCAGGAAACAACATATTCACTCTGTGGTTAAAGTTTTTAAAATTTTAATAACTTTCTTATACTATTTTGGATTTGAACCAAACTTGGACAGAAGCTTGTTTATGATCAAATGCTAGTATCTAGAAGGAAATTTTGTTTTCTTCCAGTTAACATTACATTCAGTCTGCAGTTAAAGTTTTTAAACATTTATTAGATTCATAAACTCTCCTGGATTTTTACCAAACTTGGACAGAAGCTTCTTACAATCAGAAGATAGTATCAAGAGGAATATTTTTATTGATTTACTACCTCATTTTTGTTGAGCCTGCGATTAACAGAAAAGTAGGCGAGACACTGGGTTCCGCGGAACCCTTACGAATTTTATTAAACTTGTTATTACTTTTAAAGAAAAAAACATTTTTTTATTTAGTTATTTCCCTTGGACAGATAAAATATGTGCAACCTTGGGGACATTAGAACTCTGTACTTTTATTTAGATTAGTTTAATTTTCTAGTCTATTGATTGACCATGCCCTTACATTTTTGTAGTAGCTGTGTATGATGAGCATTATATATATATTTTATTGTATTTCAGTGATTTTATTATTAAGCCCAACTCTAAATCTGAACTACCAGTTCATAAAGGGAGACAGCTTATGTCAGTACAAGAAGAATACTCAGTCAGTAGTTTGGTGTCTGATTTTTCATGGACTGGACTGAAGAAATTAATGGAAGATAATCCATTTGAAAGTTTGGATAATAAGACACTGTATCAGATGTATACTTGTCCATCACTCTTCAACAAGACAGAGTCTATAAGGTGAGACAAAAAATGTTTAAAAATATACCCATTAAAACCAAGTTTACAGATGGATTGGGACAATTTTAATCTTCCCTTGACGGAGTCAAAAAGCAAGACATAGGTATGCTGTTTCCTACAGCGGCACCGGCACTGGCAGCTTCAACAATGTATTAGTTTGTGATTAGGTCAGTTTATGAGGAACCACTAGTGGAGGTCAATGATATTTGGTATGCAGTTGTATTAGCATTGGCACATCTCCTTTCCATGGAGATTATTTGGCCCTACCCCTCAGTTATGGTCTATTGAATTTAAAACTTTTGCTTTGTTTACATGTATTTGTTTGTGATTAGGTCAGTTTATGGGGAACCACTCGTGGTTGGTCAATGTTATTTGGTATGTAAATCCATAAGCATTGGCACATCTCATTTCCATTAGGATTATTTGGCTCTGCCCCCTCAGTCATGGTCAATTTACTTTGAATGTTTTGCATAGTTTACATGTTTGAATATTGCCATTTGGATTCAATATTTGCATTACAGTACCAAAATTTCAAAAAGGCGAGACATATCTCTGTGTCAACAGTTTATTTTAATTCATGATAGATACTTTTTATACGACCGCAAAAATTTTTTGGGATTGTATAATGGTATGATGTCGTCGTCGTCCGAAGACACATTGGTTTCCTGACAATAACTTTAGTTTAAGTGAATGGATCTCTATGAAATTTTTTAAGAATGTTCAATACCACAAAAAGACAAAAGGAAGGTTGGGATTGATTTTGGGGATGATGGTCCCAACCGTTTAGGAATTAGGGGCCCAAAAGGGGCCAAAACAAGCATTTTTCTAGTTTCAGGATAATAACTTGTGTATTAGTATTTCGATTGCTCTGAAATTGTACCACAATGTTTAATAACACAAGTAGAAGGTTGGGATTCATTTTAGGGGTTATGGGACCAACATTTTAGGAATTAAGGGCCAAAAAGGGGCCAAAAACAAGCATTTTTCTAGTTTCCAGACAATAACTTGTGTGTAAGTGTATGGATCTCTCTGATATTGTACCACAAGGTTCCATATAACAAAGGGAAGGCTGTGATTGAGTTTGAGGTTAATTGCCCCAAACATGTAGGAATTAGGGGCCAAAAACAAGCATTTTTCTAGTTTCCAGACAATAACTTGTGTTTAAGTGTATGGATCTCTCTGAAATTGTACTACAATGTTCCACACTACAAAGGAAAGGCTGGGATCGAGTTTTGGGGTTATTGCTCCAAGGGGGGGTTCAAAAAGTTGGGGGGGGGGGGGGGATTTTTTTTTCCCAATTTTTTTATGGGATTCATATTTTTTTTCAAAATTTTTCAAATTGCGAATTTTTGAAAAGTTTCAAGAAGAAATCTTCAGTTGCACAGTATTGCGCAGTGTTCCCGCCTGCCCTAAATAGAAGGGCGGCCCGCCTTTGGTGCCCTTACCCCCGCCCTTCTGCCCTCCAAAGTAAAAGAATGCACCCCTCTGCCTTTTCAAAAAAATAAAATTTCAAAATTTCATGCCTACCGGCGTTTCTGGTAAAATTGTTACCTGATTGTGTAACACTAATTAACTGACAATGGGATTAAGTTAAATACCTAGTGCTTTGGCAGTTTTATCACCTTTGTTAATGATTGTTTACTGCTAATTAGTGGATTTAAAATAATTGAACAAATACTAGATATTTAATACAGAATGAAATGTCCACATGTTATCCATTTGTAATGTTTATGTACAGCATGTACACCTGAAAGTAGGCATAACATAAAAAATAAAATCTTAAACAATTTTAAAGGCATACATAGTATTGACTTAATTGGTAAAAAATGTTTTGTTTCATAACCATGAGTATGAAATTTAAAGAGGAATTAAAGAAATTTGTATTTTGAACATAACAAGATTCACTTCCTGTTTTTAATACTTCTTGTATTTCATAATCCTCCTGACATAGGAGCACTCAACAAATTTATTTTTAACAATGATGGAGAAAAAAGAAACTGTTTATACCTTCTGCAATATATTATTGCATCAATATAAGATATGATCATCTCCTGTCTCACCTGTTATATTTATAAAACTCCTTACTGAGGAGCACTTTGGTGTGCACTTAAAAATACTTTTTTGTAACAATTCAAATGATGATAAATAACTCTCAATAACATATATACTATATGTTTGAACAAGTAATTTAAATGTAGATAATTTAATTACATTCAACATTCAATTTTGCATGTATAACTCCATCTTTCAAAACTACTTGTTTATTTTGGTATAAGTTATAAAACATTGAAATTTCTGATGATTATTTTCCATACCAAATTGTACAAGTTTGTTTAGATTAACATCAAAATGATATGCTTTGCTTCATGGTATGATAATTTGATGAAAAAAAATTCTTACTGGAACCAACATCAAGAACACATTAATTTCTGAATATGGTTTAAATACAACTAATGTTCTCCAGCTGAGCCTAGCAATATTCAAGGTAATTTATACACTGTCCAACATTGCCCTTAAAATCTGGGTTATAACGCTAAAGTGCCCTTTCAGACAACTAGCACCCTTCTGCCCTGAGATTCAAGCTGGAACACTGTTGCGCAATAGATTTGTAAGATTTTTGACCACATTTATTTTGTGTCAGAAACCTATATTATGTCAAAAATTTGATCACAATCCAAATTCAGACAATATCAAGCTTGAATATTGTGTCCAAATTTGCCCAAACTGTTCAGGGTTCGACCTCTGCCGTCGTATCAGGCTGCGCTTAGCGAAGCATTTTATTTGCACTGAATTAAGGGCATGCTTAAAATTTTGAATTTTTGCATAGCAATTAAACTTTTCTGAAAAATTTTTTACAGTATAAATGAATCCAAAAATATGAGACAGCAACTTATCAAACAAAGTAGAATAAAAAAAATTAGAGAAGACTGGATGTATGATATACTTATTGTCTTTCTTCAGATTGGCAGATCAATTATCAGGCTGGATGCAGTCACATGAACTCACCAAGAAGAAATCAGCTAATAAAGAAAAGAAAAATCCTTCAAATAAAAAGAAAAAGAATCTTTCAACCCTACAACAAGCTGTGAGAGGAAACTTCCATCAACAAAGACCAAGTGATAGGAGGTTAATATTTTTAAGATCAATCATTTGGTAATATTTTTGCAGCTGAGAGGCAATCATGTATTCTTTGAAAGTCATGGGAGTACTGACATCAGATAAAAAAGAAGTTCCTCAAAAATATTTAGGACAGGACCTTATTATCACTTTTAGGAAAGTCATGAAAAAGTAAAATAACAAAAATACCGAACTCCAAGGAAAATTCAAAACGGAATGTCCCTTATCAAATGGCAAAGTCAAAAGCTCTAACACATCAAACGAATGGAAAACAAAGCAGTTTAAATAATTTTTTCTTTCAATTTGTAGTAACAAATCTATAGAGATAAAAAAAAAAGCCATTTTCATTGTAATTTCATTTGTAAATGAAATAATACTTGATACATTTTGTGCGTCTGAAGCATTTTTCAGTATTAACCTTTATCAGGAATGCTTGAACCTAAACATTTGACAGCCAGGGATGTATGAATATGTAGAACAGGAGTTATACATGTATGAAAGGAAGGCACATAAAAAGAATCATCAAATACATCTAAGGTCAACTCTTCCATAGGGAGTTGGAACCATAGTTTCTTAATAATCACTTAATTAAACAGTAGGGAATTTTAGAAATATATGCTGAGGTGATGATAAATTATATTTATACTTCAGTATTTGTTCACTAATTTGCTTCCCCAAACAGAAAGTAGGTGAGGTATTATAGGTTAATTTTCTTGTTGTTGCATTCTTATTTTGCATTAGGTATCAACTTAAATTTGCTGATGAAATATTTGTTGTAGACACTTTGATCATGGTTACCAAGTTAAAGTATTTGACGGAGGAGATGGGAACATCTGGAAGTCCATACCAAGGAGAAATGACACCTTTTATGTTTTGTCATTTAGTGAGGTAAGTGACATGCAAAAGTTCATATAGGATCGTAAAAAAGGGGCGATATGATTGGAATAATGGAGAATTAAACTGTGCCATTTCAGGATGAACTTAAAGAATGAAAAAATAGGTTACACATTGCTGTTTTAACAATTTGCTCAAAACACAGTGAATCATGAACATCAACACGAAAAATACTTGAAATAGAATAGCAAAAAAGTTGCATGAGAAGATATATTATTATCACCAGCTTCACATATTGAAATAAAAAATTCTTATTAAAATAGGTTTACATAAATCTTAGTGGATTGAGAAAAATTAACTGTCTGGTGCAAGAACAACTTAAGAAATACAAAACTGACTGTTGCAAATATGATTTTGACAATTGAACACAAAAAGATTAGGGAAGTGATTGGGAAACCATGAAGTTTAATATTAAATCAACTATAACATAAAAAAATCATTAAATTGTATAATTTAACCTTCATATCATTTACTATTGAAACCTAAGAAATATTACGGTTGTTGTACTGATTAACCTTGTATAAAATTGAGAATGGAAATAGGGAATGTGTCAAAGAGACAACAACCCGACCAAAGAGCAAAAAATAGTCAAAGGCCACCAATGGGTCTTCAACACAGCGAAAAAAATCCCACACCCGGAGGCTGGCTTCAGCTGGCCCCTAAACAAAAATGAGTACTAGTTCAGTGAAAATGGACGTCATACTAAACTCCAAAACATATAAATGAACCAAAATTAAAAATCATACAAGACTAACAAAGGCCAGAGGCTCCTGACTTGGGACAGGCGCAAAAATGCGGCGGGTTAAACATGTTTAGCGTGATCGCAACCCTCCCCCTATACCTCTAGCTAATGTAGAAAAAACAAACACACACAGTACACACAGTAAAACTCAGTTTAAAAGAAGTCCTAGTCCGATGTCAGAATAGGTAACAAAAGAAACTAAGCAAAATGACAATGATACATAAATTAACAAAGGACTACTAGCAGTTTAATACTGACATGCCAGCTCCAGACCTCAATTAAACTGATTGAAAGATTATGTCGTCATCATATGAAAATCAAGCATGTATAAAATACATTTAAATTGCAGGATTATTTCCTAGTGCCAGCAACAGCTCACAACAAAACTATGCGACCAAGAATGTCTTTTGTTATGCCAGCAGTTGGTTTAAATGGTGAGCAAAACTTATCTGTAATAAAGCTTTAGTTTGTTAGGTGGTAGTTTCAATATTTGAGATCAAAACCTAATAATGAAAGAAGACCACTATAAACACATAATTGCCTCAGGGTTATAAGAAACACACTTCCATACTTTTCAACAGTGCCTGATGCATGCAGCAGGCTAGGTAATGTTGTTTTTCCACACTATTCAAATAGTTAAACGCTTCATACTAAAATTGTGTGCACTATCAAAGCTTCTCCAACCCTATAAATTTACAAAAAAGAAACATTAAATTCTTACAATTATATTTATATGCTACAATCATGAAATAACAATTTATATCAAGCTTTTCGTTTGTTTTCCAATGCATTGTTGTGATGGTTTTATGGGAAGAATGTGCAGTCATAAATGTTATTTTATTACATTTTATTGAGAAGTGAAATATAATTTTTGATTGCCTCATCATTGTTGTCAGCCAATCAAACGTACTAATTCTTATGAAACTTACATGTAATGTAATTATGCATGTTTGACTCATTAACCCAACAATACATTTTATTACAATTTGACTAATTAACCCCATGCTACAAAGTAGCATGGATCTATAGTATTTGACCAGTCTGTCAGTCTGCCAATCATTATGTTTTCCATATGCTAACTCAAATACTGTATACTGGACTGCAACCTTCTATGAATGTATGGTCACATATAATGAGAGGAAGATCCCTAGCTACTAGTTTTTTTTTTAGGTTGACTTTCAAGGTCATGGTTACTAAAAATAAATCAAAATTGGTGAAGAAAAGTGGTTCTTGATGCTTAGTTAAATACTACTTATGTGATTGTAACCTTATTTAGATATAAGGTCACACATACTGTCTATAAAAGTAAGGAAAGAACCAATATCACTATGGAAACATATAGTAAATTAAAATAGACAACCCTGTCATTATAAGGGGAATATTGATCGAATATATCACCTATATTTTTTTTTTACAGGTGAGTGATTCAGGCTATTAGGAGCCTCTTGGTTGTTTCTTATTCTGTGCACCTAAATAATTTTAAAAATGTTTTTATTTTTTGCAGAGACCATGCAAGCACCTTCAGGAAATGTTGGAATGATGCAGATAGATTGTGAGGTGTTGAACACACAGTTAATACACGTCCATAAATCTAGTTTACCACCTAATCAAAGAAACACTACTTTCTACAGAGAGGAATTTTATCCTTGATCAAATGACAAAACAGTCATTATACCAGATTTTAAAGAAGAGAAGATGATTGGATAATGAGTTGAAGTTCCTTTGAAACAGAGTTTAAGAACAGAAGATTTTTTGATTTATTTTGGTTGTTTAATTGAAACAAAGTGTCTTGGCAGCAAACTTTTTAATAACCTTGTTTGATTATAGTCTTTAGAGTTCAAGAAATTTTGAGTGTTCAATGCATACATAAGTTTTGATAAAGCAGGAAGATAGAATTGAGGTTTATATAATTGAGGTTTATATAATTGTGTACATATTTTTTAGATTCGTAATACTAACCAGGCGAATTCATGAAAAAAATTGCTCTTTTTTATGATATTCTTTTAAAAATGTTGGTGATTTCCAGTGATTAACTTTGAAATTTCTATGTATGGTCAACAAAAATGTGCACACAGGAGTCGTAAATCTGTTTGGTCAGTTCAAATCACCAGCAGTCATCTTGTTTCAAACTTCAGCAAGAGTGATTTTATTCAGAATTGTCCTGTATATTGTTAGTGACCTTTTTCCTTTTGTTCAATCACTATTTAGTTTTTCTCATAGACAATTTTTAATGACCCATTATAGTTAGTTGAGAGATTTTACCTCTTAAATTTGACAGAATTTTAAATCAAAGACATTATTTTAAGAGAGTTTGTCCAATTTTACGAATTTAAAACTAAAAAAATTATTACTGTGGATTCATTTATTTTCTCGGGTAGCAATTTCTCGGATTAATGAAAAATTGTACTTTTGTCAACATTTTATTTTGTGGTTTTACACAAGTCTGCATACACGACTAAATAAACATTGTGCTTCGTTGAATATTTAAATTTGTGGTTCACCAGTGCACACCAAATCCACAAATATTAGTATTCCACAAATGATAATGAAGTTTCATCACGGATAAGTTTTTAAATGAAACATTCCATATAACATTCCAGAAATATTTAGATGTATCTAGTCATGATTTTGTGATATATTGACAGACTAGCCTTCTTTACGAAACTAATTAAGGAAGAATCTTGTACAGAAGGGAATTGCATCAGATTTATGTTTTTTGACCATAAATGAGGTCACTTATTCAAAATAATGTTATGAAATATTTTACTTGCTTGGCAGTATTTAAATAAATTGTTATAGTCCAATTTGCTTGTACTATGTATAATATGACATTTATAATGACGTATTTACTTAAGTGGTGAACCCAGATACTTTTGGAGGGGGTTTGTGGTGACTTTACCTGGGGACAAGGATTGATAACAACCGTTGATAAAAAGGGGAACCCCACCCCTGGATCAGCCACTTATGCCAAGTAATGTATAAAATCAACAGTTGCAGCAAAAATATCAAATATGAAAACGTATTGTTATAGTATTCTGAAGAATATTTTCACATTTTTTTTCTTACTTTTAGCGGTTGAAAGATACTTGGAATTCTCTCAAGTGTAAACGAGTCTATGTAAATGAGTTTTATTGATATGTTTTCTAAGAAAGTTTATGTTACAGATTTTAGTTTATTTTAGTTGCTGTCATTTTTGTGTATTTAAAATGGCAGTTTCTGTATGGAATTCTGGTAAGAAGTTTGTTATTTAGTTCATATTTATCTAGTGCTAATCATATTCATAACAAATCATATTATCATGTCATTTGACAGAAATCCCTGTACTTCAAATATTACTCCATAACTTACTTAATATTTGTCATAATAAATTGTTGACATTATTTTTGGTGTTCAATAAATAGCTGAATAATTTTATCCAGAACCTAGATATGGTCGTATATGTATAATTTCAAAATCTAAATCTAAATAGGTCAATCATGAACAGGGTTTTTGTTTTTAATGAAATACAAGCATTTAAAACCTTTTATTATTGAAAAATACATTGTAAAATAAAAAATGAATGCATGTAGCACTTAACCCAAATCACATGAAATGAGTTTGCAAAGGTGCTCGATTGTTCATTGGATATTTGATTCAGGGAACAATTATTGTTTACTGATCAATATGAAATTTCATTTGACAATCAATTATTCACCATTTTAGAATCTAAAGGATTATGGGTAATTTCATTGTTTAAATCTTGAAATGAAAGTAAAGTCACATCATTGGTTGAATTTTCATTGTTTGGGATGTTTTAAACCAATCACAACAACATTTTGGTGTATGCTTTTGAAAATGTTACCCAGAATGCTTTTAAATTCTCAAAATGGCAAATCATATAACTATACATTATAACAGACTTTTTATGCAATGTAAATGTCATTTATTCATCCTTCAAATGGTTTTGTTTTCTTTTTTTTTAACTTGTCTGACCAGTCCTTTGAGATCTCTGAATTGTTAAACATACAAGGTTTGTTCTAATTTTGCTAATCAATTTGAAAATGAAAAAGCTACTACTAAAAATGTATAATGAAATTTTATTAATATGTCCATATTTTTTGGCAATATGAATAACAATTGCAGATTTTTTCTGAAGTCATGTTGATTAATCTTTTGCTTTGATACATCTTTTGTTGAAAAACAATAATATATCTGGATCGTCATGAAGATTTGTATTATAGAAAATGACTTAATTAGTTATTTTTTGTTCTGTGTATATCTCTAGTCACCATTTCTGCATAATACAATGAATTAGAGAAGTTTTAGTACACAAGGTTACAGTGTACGTCTAACCAGAGGCTATTTTCAACTCTAGGATTCTTTCACCATACAGACACTAGTAATTTATCTACAGTTTGATATTTTTTATATCAAATACCAAAATGGCACTATGGCAGCAAGGTTATTTGGTTTCTACTATATTGAAAATAATTCCACTGGTAAAATTTTCAGTGTTTAACTTTCTACCTCATAGATTTTTAATTTAAGAATAGAGGATTCAGTTTGCATTACAATACACATGTTTTTAGATTACTGAAAGACTCAATATTTTACTGTCGTTTCTTGTCGAAAAAATGAAGATCTCTCTCCGGTCTTGAAGCGATAGTGCTGATCATATCTACTAATGAAAACTTCTTCCTTTGTTGCATGTAATGTCTGCATCATATTATATTATTCAGTAATTAAAAAAAAAATTAAAATGTCATTAAATGACTGATCATTTTTATTATTTATTTTGCATAGAAATAAATGTTTATTTATAGTTATTATATAGTTAAAGATATATTTATTGATATGTATATTGGTTAAAATAATGTTGTAATACTATGTAATTATATGTAATTTATTGTATATAATTTGTTTTAATGATTAAGATAAAAATCCAGATCATCCTTCATCATGATATTTAAACCACAAACCCAAATCACAAAAAAAAATAGTGCTTTGAAAATTGGCCAATCTGATAAATGCAAGTTTATATAATTAGTCAATAATCCTTGCAAAAACATGCATGTCCCTAACTATCAAATATTAACCATATATGACAAGCAAAATTCCATTCACTTTTGAACTGTGAAATTTTTGAAAATATTTGTAACATGGAGTGAGGTGACAGAATTGCCCCTTGCCCTCCTGCAAATATACACTCAAACAGCAATTTTTTATTCCTAGTTCTCAGGACTAACAATTATAAAAAATCTAAAATTACTCTTTGACCTACAGGAAGAATTTAAAACTTCTTTCCAACACCAATTTTAATGGAAAAGCCATTGTTATGCAAATGTATTGAAAGTTGCAATTTTTCCCATCAACCAAATTACTGTTTGTCCTTAAAATCATGATTATGTAAAGCAAAATATTATTATATCTTGGGGTTTTTCTTACCAATCTTACCAAATCCACCATTTTCTACATAAGAAAATGCCTGTACCAAGTCAGGAATATGACAGTTGTTGTCCATTCGTTTGATGTGTTTGTGCTTTTGATTTAGCCATTTGATTAGGGACTTTCCGTTTTGAATTTTCCTTGGAGGTCAGTATTTTTGTGATTTAACTTTTTACAAATTTTGATTTGTAGGGGTTATATGCTTGGTTTTTATCAAAGAATGTCAAAGAGATTTTTTTTTCATCTATGGAGTTCACAGGGAAATGTTTGTTTATTTTTTGTCATTACTACAAATTAAAGGGTGCCATTAAAATATGCTTCTTTAACACAGGAGCTGAAGAAATTGAATTTTATTTTGTAAAATTGTCTCTTAAGATATATGCAATTCTATTTTTATTATATTTGTGCAATATGCTATTGTGTTTTATGATTTGATTTTCTTAATACTGTTTGTGCAAGATGTTTTCATTTTAAATGACAAAGAACACAAAACAGATTACACAACACCAAATGGCAATGAGCACACATTACAGAATACCCAATACCAAATGTCAAAGAGCACACATTACAGAATACCCAACATAAAATGACAAAGAACACAATATAGAATATAGAATACCAAATACCAAATGACAAAGAGCACACATTACAGAATACCCAACACCATTGTATTTTCATAAAAAATATATTGTCATTTTTTATACAGGATCAGTCTTAATTGGTTTGAAATATTACGATAGAATAAACAAATAATAGTTAACCTTAATGCACCAAAACTGACTGATTAAATGCAAGATACATGATTTACAATGTAATCACACCACCGAACTTCATTTTTAGAGTCTGTTTGTCCATTGATGCCTTATGATTTTTAGTACATCAAGTTCATAAACTTAGTTTCTAATGTTATATTTTAAATGAAAATTCTTCATTTTGACTTTTTCTAATATAACTATGCAATCATTAGTGTCCAACTGATCTGACTACTTGTAAATCCGTTTTTTTGTTGCATCCAGTTTGCAAATGAGCGGGGGAAAAAACCTTTACAAGGCATTTATTTGTACCATTAATTTATTATGAAAATACTGTAGAAGATCTATTTCATAAACACCTAACAGACCATTAAAATTTTGTGTATATTCAGGAGAGACCTTTGAAAGTGAAGGTTTCACAGTACACAACCTTTACAACATCAAATTTAAGGAATTCTAGTTATTGAATGTTCTAGAAATAGAAGTTCTGCTGCAGATTTAAATATTATCACAACAGAGTTTTAATGTCAGTTATGACTTTTAAATACTACTATTTCCATATTCAATACCAATTATTAGCAGTTCAGGAAAAGCTGTAGATTGGGATGATCAGGTACACTGACCATGTAGGTTTAATATATCTTTACATGTAGTACAATGGGAATAGTGTTTCTGTTGCCCAGATCTTTTGTCCATCAATGAGGTTTTCCTGGAGTAGCTAAATGAAATAGTGCCTTGGTACTTTTTTTATATTGTTTTTGTATTTTTTGTGATAGGATGTTTGTTTGTGATGTGTTTATATGGGAATAAAGTATCTAAAGGTGACTGTTTTTTTTTTATTGTTTTGCAGAATGGCAAAGAAAGTGTACAATGTTTTAATTCGTGACACGAAATTCCTATACATACTTGACAAAACCAATCAAAAGAATAATGTTCTTATTGCTGTTCTATATGAAAATAACACTTCATAAATTTTGTGCATCTGAGTTGCTTTTCTGGATTTTCCTTCATCAGGAACGCTCATACCCCAATATTAAAAGGCAGGGATGTATAAAAACGTAAAAATTTTAGGAGCTATATGACCAAAATGACAAAATCTCATAAGCCTCACTAGGTTTAAGTTTATACCTCAATACTAGTTCAAGACAGCACCTAGCACCAGATTGAGCTGAATACTATGGTGGAATTACGCTACATCTGAAATGGATCAGAGGGGATTTGGTGTATTAAATCATGACATGTGCTTGACACAGAATAATTCCCCTATTGCCACTACTATGGAAGAACATATATAAGGGATAATATCAACTAATCACTATTGCAACAGAAGAAATATAACCGATACTGTCATATGACATTCAATCTCATGATTATAATACTAATGGTACCATTCCTCTGCACCAGATGCACATTTCGACAATAAATGTCTCTTGAATGATGCTCGAGGCCAAACTATTGGAAAATCTCAAATTTAAAAAAAAAAAAAAAAAAGAACTTAGAAACCACAAAGGACAAAAAGTATAGCCAAAGCCGGGCAAGGAATTAGAGCTATGGTCATTTTTGTCGAGCCTGTGACTTTTGTAGCAAAAGCTAGACATAGCGATCCTACATTCCGTCATCGTTGGCAACGGCGTCGTCCACAAATATTCACCCTGTGATTAAAAGTTTTGGAAATTTTAATAACTTTCTTAAACTATTTTTAATGATCATAAGATAGTATCCAGAAGTAAATTTTGTAAAAAAAAAATCCTGTTTATCCGTATTTTACTTATAAATGGACTTAGTTTTTCTGCCAGTTAACATTACATTCACTCTGTGGTTAAAGTTTTTAAAATTTTAATAACTTTCTTAAACTATCCTGGATTTGTACCAAACTTTGACAGAAGCTTGTTTATGATCAAAAGGTAGTATCTAGAAGGAAATTTTGTAAAAATTTATTTCCTGTTTTTCCGTATATTACTTATAAATGGACTTAGTTTTTCTTCCAGTTAACATTACATACAGTCTGCAGTTAAAGTTTTTAAAACATTTATTAGATTCATAAACAATCCTGAATTTTTACCAAACTTGGATAGAAGCTTCTTACAATCAAAAGATAGTATCTAGAGGAAAATTTTTAATAATCTTTTCCCCATTTTTGTTGAGCCTGCAACTAACAGCAAAAGTAGGCGAGACACTGGATTCCCCGGAACCCTTACAAATTTTTTGTATTCTTGTCTTTCATTTTTGCTTATGTGGTTTGTCTATATGCCATTTTGTTTTTCTTTGTTGACATAGTTGTTTTGTTAGTCCCCTACAGACAAAGTCGAAGGGGACTTTAGGTTTGTACGCTGTCCGTCTGTCTGTCTGTCCATCCGTCAGTCCGGCAGATCAGTTTTCTACTCTTTTTTTCTTCGTGCTTGAAGATATTGATTTGATATTTGGTATATATTTCCATCATGACAAGTTACAGATCATGTTCGAATTTTGTTCCGTTCTGATGATTTTGTCCCGAGTTATGGTCCATGGACTTAGTAAATTCACTCAAATATTCAGTTTTCCGCTCTTTTTTTCTTCATTCTTGGAGATATTGATTTGATAATTGGTATATAGTGTTATCATGACAAGTTACAGATCAAGTTCGAATTTTGTCCCGATCTGATGATTTATTGCAGAGTTATGGTCCTTGGACTTAGAAAATTCACCTAAATAATCTGTAAACCACCTTTTTTTTTATGCCTGTTTGTTTTGTTCACACATTGTTGTCAATATAAGGGAAATTTATGCGACTGTCATACAAGTGAGAGATTTAGCTAACTATAAAACCATGTTTAATCCACCATTTTCTACATAAGGAAATGCCTGTACCAAGTCAGGAATATGACAGTTGTTATCCATTCGTTTGATGTGTTTGAGCTTTTGATTTTGCCAATTGATAAGGGACTTTCTGTTTTGAATTTTTCTTGGAGTTCGGTATTTTTGTTTTTTTACTTTTTACATGAGGGAAATATATAACTTAACTATAAATAATTTCCGAAATTTTGTAACAGCAAATTTAAATAACACAAAATCCGTAGTTAAAACTATATGGAGAAAAAATACAAACATTTAGACTACCCATCCGGATATTTGTTGGAAATCTTTACAGGAAATAAAGTATGAAAAGCTCAAATAATTGGAAAGACTACATAACAATATAAAAAAAAACTGTCTGATAGAGAAAAAGTGATGTAGTACACATGCGAAGAATTATTTCAAACTTAAGAATACCTTTATAGCAATTCGAAATGTTCCAATATCACCCAGATTACAACTCTATGTTGCCATCTGGGTTGGTGTATTGGCCTATAAATTAGGTATTTAGCCTTGAAAATTGAAAAGTAAGTTTATCCCATTCATACAATAGAAGTTCATCTATTTGGCTTCATGCCATTTACCAATACCTTGTCAAAATATTGGACACACCATTGTTATTCCAACACCAAACTGACTTTTAAGAGTGTAAAATTTATCGACAACCTAAATAGCATCATAGAATTTTAATACGGGCGAAACTGGAAAATTTCGTCACTAATCGTACTTTGGCGAGTTGCAATATGACAACTAAGCTTGGACATAGTAGTTTGCTATTCCAGATGACCCAATAAGGTTTTGGCGAAGTTTAAATTAAAAATTTACTGTGAATTCATTATTATTCGTGGGATAACATTTTTCGTGGAATTCGTGGGTATAGGGGAACCACGGATTTAAATTTTCATTTTCTACAGGTTTAAATACAAACTTTGGCAAAACCACGAAATATATATCCTCAATCCACGAAAAATCTGTACCCACGAAAATAAATGAATCCACAGTATAACAAATTCCTCTAAACTTTTATGCAAAACCTTCTATTTTCTAAATGTTATCTTGTATATAGTGATCGTGTACATCCCAACTGATAGATTATAACTACAAACACTCATTGTAATTGATAGTCATTGTTAATGAACAATAAATGTACGTGTTTAGTAATGTTAACAGCATACTGGGTACGCATATCCAAGCTGTTATGCATGTCATTCTGTTATTTCTCGTATGGAAAAACTGCAGACGTACCCCGTCCAGAAACTATTATTAACGATAGGAAATCTTTCATGTTTGAGGCAGCACGAGTGGGGAATTTATAACTTTGAAATGAGGCTCATGTTATGTTTTTCAACAAACAATTGGCATTCACATGGGAACCATTTGTGACCCTCTTCTTGCCGAATTGTTCCTTTATTCATATGAGGCAGATTTCATACAGGAGCTTTTACGAAAGAATGAAAAGAAGCTAGCATTATCCTTTAATCTTATGTTCATCAATATACAATGTAGATGATGTCCTCTTACTAAATAATTCAAAGTTTATTGACTATGTTGAACGCATCTATCCCATTTAACTTGAAATAAAGGATGCAAAAAATGAAAACAACACATTATAAATTTCATGCGTCCGAAGCGCTGTTCCGGATTTACCTTCATCAGGAACGCTCAAAGCCGGATATTTGAAAGCCAAGTATGTATAAGAACCGAAACAGTTGAAGAACTATATTACTAAAAAAGACTTTAAAATAGCCAAATCCATCTTAGGTGAACTTTGCCTGAGGGAGTTGAAACCTTAGTTTCTAATAATTTCAAAATTTATTAACGGACAATTTTAGAAAGGTTTGGTATAAATCATGTCAGTACCGAAGTACTGACTACTGAGCTGATGATACCCTCGGGGACTGATAGTCCAGATAGCCCAGCAGTACAATTCAATTAAGTCTGCTTCATGTCTTGAAAAAGAGAGGCAAAATATATCAAACTCATAAGTCGAAAATAAACTAACAACGCCATGGTAAAAAAAAGAAGAAAAAGACCAAAAGACAAACAACATTATACAAAACACAACATAAAAACTAAAGACTGGGCAACACGAACCCTACCAAAACAGGGAGTGATCTTAGATGTCAATCTTCATTACAATACTTAGGCAAACATCCTAACTAAGTTTGCAAGCACGTCAACCAAAGTTTTGGTCAAAATGGATTGGAAATTAGCTGTTAGAAAAAAAATGTTTTGTATATTGGTTTTCTTTCTTTCTGGCTGTTTTTTTTTGTTTTTGTTTTTCTGTTGTTACTGCCATTTTGCTGAGCTTTTTTCTATTGAATTAGCATTTTTTTTTCTATTTACAATGCTTTTTCATTTGGCTGAATGTACATACTTCACTCATACCACATCTTCCTATATCTATTATTTACATATTTACTAGCTTCTATGTAAACAATCTTCAAATATTCAAATAACAAGCAATTCCTGGAAATATACCTTGACCACATAATACTACCGAGAAAAGTATTTTCTTGGAAATGTTTTGCTAAGATAGCCTAGAGGCATAATTATAATGATGAACTTTTTGTATAAAATACAACTGTAAACAAACATTTATGGTATACATTTTAATCTTTATATTTATATCAATAAAGAACTAGGAAAACGTAACGTCAGAATGTGGAAACTTATTTTAACTTTTTCACTTCTCGTGGTACTGAATGCAGGTATGTTTATCATTACTTACATCAATGTTCTATTATTTATCAGCAAAAACTTCAGGCTTTGGCAATTAAACCAGAAAAGACAAGATAGTACAGGGATTCATATTGCCATAAAAAAGCACAGATACGGTATCAATATGATGATAGAAAAATAGACGCAATTAAGATTTCCTTCCAAATCCATAACATCTTCTGAAAGCGTTACTGCATCTGGAAAATTTGAGATAATGACACTATTCCTGTTTTATCAAAACTAATTGCTCTTTTAAGAAAAAGAAAAGATAAAATAAGTATTTATTACTTCTATGTTAATCAGATATAGTCGTCTCATATCTTCGGAGCTGACGCCCTTCAGATATGAAAAGACTACATCTGATACATGCACATGCTTTTGTTTACCGTCAAAGTTGACACTTTTTACCGCACTCTTCAAGAAGAAACAGGTAAAAAGTTGATAAAAAAAGGGCGTGGGTCGAACATTATCAATATGTTTTACTACACTTTTAATCTCTTTAACCACAAGCCTTATTTAAACAATGTACATAATTACGTATCATTCCAATCAGAACACATCATCTTTCTGAGGTAGTTTTTTTTATTTATATTATTTTGCCGGATTAATTAAATTATCCGAAAAGCTGTGAAATCTTCTTTAAATTTAGATCTTATTATTACCCTCTGCAACTACAAAAGCAAGAACATGAACAATGTAACGAAAGACAATATTCACATTTCTTCTTTGAATTTTAAATGATCATGTTTTTCTTTCAATCATTACAATTATCACTGAGAAAACCTCTTCTAGGATTCAACATTTTCACGTGCTTATCGTGTGTCTATACGTGACTACCACTAAGACATTTTTGTTTAGTAAAATACGTATAATGGTATCATTGTAAAAAAGGCATACATAGTTTTTGGAACTCCCTATGAAAAATTCACATCTTTTGAAAATCTATTATACGAATCCATGTTGCCCAAAACTTTGGTTGAAGTGCTTGCAAACTTAGTTTGCCTAAGTATTGTTATGAAGATTGACATCTGAAGACAATAGATATTCGGAGATTCAGTCTGTATATAATATAACACGATTTGATTTAATGATTATATTTGCTATGGTATTGAAAAACGCAAACAAAAAAAGCGAAACAAAATTCCTTACATACAAATACAAAAAAAAACACATTAAAAATGTTAATTGCTGTCAATTGATTGTTAAGGCTTTGTCAAGTATTTCAGCTTTTGGGTCTCAAATTACGAAACCCAAATGAGTTTGGTAATATATATATATATATATATATATATATATCAAGGAGAATTTCCTTTCAAATATTTTATAAATTAGATCATCATAAACATTTAATAGAACCATTTTATTTTCAGAATGGGGAACATGTATGTCAAATAGTTAATAATGTGATCCGAATATAATCTTCATTTCTTGCAGCATACTTAAAAATTTAAATGAAGGCAAAACAGAGTTTGGGATTTATAAATACTGTTTTTATTGTTATTAATTCAAGAGTAATACACAAATATTTGTGTTAGTGTGTTCCCTTTGTTACTAAAAATGCATTGACCATTAGCACATTGCCAATGCAAGCCAATAATTCAAATTCAAACATCTTACAAGAAAATCACCCGAAATACCAATATTTCTAATTGATGCGGGTAAAAGTGGATATATACATGTAATAAGTTTACAATAAATGTAATTTTCACACCATTATATTGATCACTAGATTTTAAATCTGCTACCTGCTTTACTTTTGAGTCAATTTATAAACCATTTAAATCAGCTGAATAATGAATTTGTTAAACACTTAAAGTATAAGTTTGCTATTCCCAATTTGATTCATATTTTATAGAACCTTTTTTAATCTCTTTGAACATATCAACATGTGTAATCTATTTTTAATCTCCAAATGAAAAAGAACAAAAAGTTAGCATTTATATGATGAAAAACAAACAAAAAAACCCAACGAATTGTATATCTGAGACATGCGACAATTCCTTGACTAACCTTATTGAAATAAGTCTATATCAGCTGGTCGAAATTAAGTTTTTGTACAGCAGATACATCTCTTTTAAAGGATGTATACATATAGTGTTTCAAGGCCATATTCATTACTTGAAACAATATCATAAAAGTCATTGTCCAATCAAATTGTCGTATATTGTAAACAGACTGAAACTCCGCCTAATAATTGTCTTCAGATATCAATCTTAACAACAATGCTTGAGTAAACAACTTAACAAAATTGTCAAAGATGTCAACACAACTTTTGGTCAACATGGATTTATATAATAGCTCTAAATCTTTTCTTTACTATGGCTGTCTTAGATTGATGAACATCTTATAAAATACATATAATGATAGATTTGATTGTATACAGAGCAATTATCTGTAATATATATATCGTCACTCATTATATACTATTGTCTGTATAAATTGAAGGTATATCCACGTGTCAAAGATGTAGTGGTTGTCCGGATCTTGGGTTAACGCCTTGTATTATTAGTCCATGCGACAATCATAATTGTCCAAGCAACAAAAGATGCTGGTAAGTATACATTTGTGTGTCTTTGAGGATAGGGGGATTCTTCGATCTACGAAATCTATACAAGCGAATTGTATACACTATTCTGATAATTTTACTGATTTTTCGTTATTTTCGGCTGTAAATAAGAAGTATCAAAAACCTTTGAAAGAAGATTGCAGTCGCCCCTTGAATCTTATCTTGTTTCGCTGCGGCCTCTGTTGTTTATATACCTGTTCCACTTCGGTGATTTCAAATTTTTATGTTTCTAACTAGATAGAGCTTCCAAGATGTTAAATTCTAAGTTAACGTTTCTTTTCAATGACAAGTTCAAGTTAATCTTTAACTTACTGAACAGAATTACATTTAATTATGTGCTTAACATCAAATTTTCTTACAACAAATCAGACACTTTCCAAAAATTGTGGCATTCGAAAATATAATATGGATTGATTTAAAGGTTACTTTAAACAATAACACAATCGAAAGTGTTTTAATCGTCTTGCCGATATATCTATTTACTTTCTAGTGGTTTTTATTCAATTATAACTTTTGGTAATATACCTTTGCATGCATACATCTGTCGTTTTAATTTTTTTTATCTCGAGTGTAGATTATTATAAGACCATGTTAGCCAGTTATTGCTGATTGATCTTAAACTTGGTAGTTTGTAAGCACTGGGTATCAGGTTAACTTTTCTGACATCTGCTCCTCAATATGAAAATGCATGAGGGTCTGAATGGGGTTTACAGAATAGCGAATAATGGGTCAAAATCTACTGAAAAATAGACCAAAAGATTAAAGAATAGAGAAAAATAGGGTAAATAAATAAAGATTAGAGAATAATTGGATGCTTAAATATAAAGAATAGAGAATAATATGCAAAAAATACAAAGAATACAGAAAAATGACATAAAAAATTAAACAATACAGAAATGGAGGACCCCAGTCTAGATACTCATGTATGACTTGTTATATAGCTTTAATGTATGGAGTATACGTTCATCAAACTTAAGTAGTAGGATATGTGTGACTTTTCATTAAATAAAGAAATTCATCAGATCAATTTAGTCTAAGAAAGTGATCTGTTAATTTATGTTTTATTTTTGTAGCAAGTAAACGAATACGATGACCCCAATTTGATGTTTATTTATCGAAAGCTGCATTGGTGCTATTTTCATATTTTATTTGTAAATTTTATCTTTTAATTGATTTTTTTTGTTGTTGTTTGTTTTTCCCATTAAACAACCTTATTCAGGTATTAACAAGTATTGATGTTTACATTTTGATGTATTTGTGTTAATGATTGATTAATTGATTGTTGGTTGCTTTACGTCCAGTATATATTATATTTCATGCATGTTCAGGAGGAGGACAAATTAACAAAAAACACAATAGATAGGTCCTTAATAGAGACCGTCCGGGATAAAGGTCGGGGAAATTTTGACTGCCACTGAAAAATGAGGGTATAGTGGATAGAGACTAATTTTTTGTCTTGCAACAGACTACCTACGGACCCCTAAAAGAGTTCTTGCAAAGGTTCTGAACGTGCGGACTATGTGACACTCTCTCTATACGATGCATAGGATTTGACCAGCGTGACTGCGTATTTTCAAATCCCGAATAGCCAAACGGACGCCCCACTTCGGCAAGGATTTTACTGCCGGTCGGATGAAGACCAAGAGTGACCTTATGTCTTTTCCCCAGTCACCCTAGGGGATTTTATGTTAATGCATATCGCTTATGTCTTTTCAATTTATTGTAATCTAACCAAGATACCATTTTTGTATTCTATATAACTGATATATAGAGCTTAGTACAGCTGTATAATAATAAACTGACACCAATATTTAACACATCTTATTTGATTTTTTCAGTGAAGACTTATGTAGTAAAGGATGTAAATACAAGTGTATCGACTGATGGTATGTCTTGTGACATGTCAACTGGTCACATGTATTTTCTTCTACAGACAAAAACAACATTTGAAACTTTTTCCAAACCATGTATTCGTACAGAAGTAAAGATTTTCTTTTCTGAAATGTATTTATTTGTTCTGTCTATTCCAAAAAATCTTTTCAGCAAAGTTGACAACTTTGTTAATTTATAGTTAGACACGATTGTTTGATTACGTTTGCATTCATGTATTCATTGTAATTTTGGCTATCCATAATCTTTAGGCTCCCAGCGTCCCAAATAAAGGTTAACAACGCTTCGTATGTACGATTAACTGATTATTCATGTGACATATATTCGCATTCAGTTCATGTCTTTTCTTTTCCAATTCGGATTCTTCTATGTTGTGCCTCAGAAGATATCCTTATGTTTGTACGCCTTTGTTCTTGGAGATAAGGTTTCTTTTTTATAACTGAAGACTCATTTCTCAGATCAACCAAAATATAAAACAGAAATTAAAGCCACATCCATGCATCCATGCCCCCTAGCGCCTTTAATAAAAACAGGGATTTATTATATCCCTTGATATTTCGTCGCTATTGGACATTTCAGGGAACTTTTTACTCAACAATTCAGTCATTGGGGAATAAATATTAATATATATTTGAAAAGATAATTAATTGTGGAATTTTGTATAATATAGTCCTATCACTGGACCATGAGAAACACAAGAAAATTTCATGGAAAACGAATAGTCCTTTTAAAAATTAGTTATTGAATAGTTTTTGATCAGATTAAATATAAATAAGAAAATGTGGTATGAGTGCCAATGAGACAACTCTCCATCCAAGTCACAATGTAAAAAAAGTTAACAATTATAGGTCAAAGTACGGCCTTCAACACGGAGCCTTGGCTCACACCGAACAGCAAGCTATAAAGGACCCCAAAATTATATGTGTAAAACAATCCAAACAGGAAAACCAACGGTCTAATCTATATAAAAAAACGTGAAAAGAGAAACACTTATGAACCACACCAACAAACGACAACCACTGAATTACAGGCGGCTGACTTAGGACAGGTGCATACAAATTCAGCGGGTTTAAACGTTTTAACATACGTCAAACTTCACCCTAACCTGAGACAGTAGTGTAACATTACAACATAAAAAAGACACACTATAAAATATCGATTGAAATGGCTTTACTCGATCAAAAAGACATTTAAACAAAAACAAGTAAACATACGCCGAACGAATAAGTTTGATCTATGACACAATATAAATACAATATTGATAAAAAAAGATGTAGCAACAGTGTCAAAAAGACAACTCTAGCTGGGACAAAATGGCGTTAAATCAAACAACGTACACAGGTAAATTTAAATATAATAATTTTGTTGTTAGGAGTACGGAAGTAAACATTTTTTACAAAACTAAAAAATATGCTGTTCACAGTACGAGTACAGAAGTGAAAATTTATCGTCATACTAAATACTTATCAAAGGTGGTACATATTAAAAATAGTGAGACGAGATATAACACAAAATAAATAAACCTTGAATTACAGAAACGCGTTACACATTGTGTCAACAGGTCAAATTAACTGGAAAGTACGATTTGAGAGTACTCACAGGTACTGAAAGCAGTTAATAGCCAAAAAAAATTAATAATAAAAACTCATGCATCAGAGACTTAAATCAATTAATACACATCCCAGGGATTTAGTGTTTTAACGCCATAGACAGTCAAAGAAGATATGACTTGTGCAATGCAAAAAAAAAAGTATCGGCAGGCAGTAGGATCGTTAGGATTTAACCTTATAATAAATATGTATCATGTTATATATAGATACAGCAATCTCTAAATAGAAAACAAACGTGGATGTGTATTTATACATCCCAAAAACCATTCGAAAAGAATACAAATTTAGTTATGTTTTAATTTGTTGATGACAAAATCGATGTTAGTGCCAATGTAAACAATATTCAAATTTCTTATTACAACATTAATAAGATAACCTTTACTAATAAGTTTGTTTAAAGGTTCGATGAGTGTACACGGATCACATAGCGATTTCTGCGCTTTTAGTATAATATTACTGTAAAATTTAGGATGTGAAATACCGTTTTTAATCAGTTTTCTACAAGTAGTCTGGTATGCATCAACACAATGCCCTGCGAATAAAGGGAAATATGGAGTATTTCAACCATACAGCAACCAAAAGACACCAAAACCAAAAGACATGTAGAGGTCAACATACTGTCTAACAAATGAATAAACAGGTGTTTTTTTCCATTATACAATCTTTTATGGATCTGGAAATCTTAGTTTTACAGCATAAAATCAATGAAACTGGATATAAACGTTGTGTTAAATTAGTTTTTTTTTATAGGTATAGAACCACTATAAATGCGGGTTTAGTCAGAAAGAACACACAAGAAAGTATAGTACACATTTAAAACAAAATAGTTCCTACGCATAGTTGTAACTTTTTAAATAAGTAAATTTTGGGTAATGTTGGTATCAAATAAAAGCTTAAGGACTCGGGAACACTGCAAAACCCCAAGTTGCAAATTTCTTTTGAATGATAATGCATAGTTTTGACATAAAAATTACTGTCAATATAAAAAAAAAGGAGATGTGGTATGATTGCCAATGAAACAACTATCCACCAAAGCTCACATGAAGTGGATGTAAGCAATTATAGGCAACCGTACGGCCTTCAACAATGAGAAAAACCCATACCGTATAGTCGGCTGTAAAAGGTCACTTTATTCAAACTTAATACAAAATAGCTATGAATGCTTTTTATCATCAACACAATTTATGAATCATATGAAATATACAAACAATAACATTTGTAATAGTCACTTAGAGCACGGTCTGTGATATATATGTAGGACTCGGAGGTGAGATGGGAACGCTGAAGTGCGATGGTCTGCTATTTTGTCTTATATTCGACTCCAATCTTAATGAACTAGGATTATCAGTTTTCCTACAGTAGGTCGGTGGTTCTCTCCGGGCACTCCGGTTTCCTCCACCAATAAAATCTGACCTCCACGAAATAGCAAAAAGTGCTGAAAGTGGCGCTAAACACCAATCAATCAATTGATTGCGTGCCTTGTTGTTTGCAATGAACAGTGCTGTTTCTGATGGCTGAAGTCACATGCAATGCTTTCTATTTTGCTTTATGTCTATATTTTTTGCTCTTGTTTTGTTGCTTTTTGTCTTGCTGCATGCTTTTATGGTTGTTTTTTTGTGCGTGTGTGTATTTCTGCAGTTATTTGATATAATCGGTTGTCAGAGCTCCTTCGATCTCATGTATTATTCGTTTTGTATATATGTAGAATAGAATAGAGAATTAAAACGGGGAATATGTTAAAGAGACAACAACCCGGATAAAGAGCAGAAAACAGAACAAGGTCACCAATGGGTCTTCAATGCAGCGAGAAAATGCCGCACCTGGAGGCAGGCTTCAGCTGGCCCCTCAACAATAATGTAAACTAGTTCAGCGAACAACACTAACAAAGGCTAGAGGTACCTGACTTGGGATAGACGCAAAAATGCGGCGGGGTTAAACATGTTTTGTGAGATCTCAACCATCCACCTATACCTTTAGCAAATGTAGAATAAAAAAAAACACAGCAAAACGCAAGTAAAAGTCACTTTAAAAGACGGTCGAGTACGATGTTAGAATATGTAACAGGAGAAACTCAGCAAAATGACAATGATAAATAGAAATGAACAAAGGTCTACCAGTAGTTACTGACATGCCAGATCCAGACTTCAATTAAACTGATTAAAAGAGTATGTCTTCATCATATGAAAATCAAGCACAATCCCTACCGCTAGGGGTATAATATCATGCCATCATAAAAGAGAGGCGAAAGATACCAAAGGGACATTCAAACTCGTAAGTCGAAAAACAAACTGACAACGCCATGGCTCAAAAAGAAAAAGACCAACAGACAAACAATAGTACACAAAACACAACATAGGAAACTAAAAACTGACCAACACGAACCCCACCAAAACCTCTCCGGTGCTCCGGAAGGGTAAGCAGATCCTGCTCTACATGTGGCACCCGTCGTGTTGCTCATGTTAGTACAAACCCGGTAATAAGTATAATTCGGTAGATCACATTCGGGGAAAAGGGGACGGGATTGTAGTTACGACATTTGAAACATATACGCTATCATCTGTGAAACGGATATTCCATAACTGTCAACCAACTCGTGATGGCGTCCGTAAAATTTACGAAGGGATGATTTCAACTTCACCACTTGGAACTTTTGGTTTAATAGCTTTCTTGTGAGCAGCAACAATCATGATAGGAAATTATACGAGAAGAACATAACCCGTATCTTGCCAACAACTGGTTTTAGAATAAATGTCCGATGCACTATGAGTGAATCAGTATTCATTCCCAAAAATGCCATCTTTAATGACAACACTATCGTAACTATATCCCTTATGAATAAGTCTTTTTAAAGGTTTGGTAAGCTTATGAGGTGAATGACGACATTTTGTGCTTTGAATAGAATATTACCATTAAAGATGAGATGTGAAATACCTAAACGTATAAGATGTCTGCAAGCTAATTCATATTTACGAATGATGTCCTTGTAGTGATGATAAAATTTAGTAAAAGTTTTGACGAGTTTGTGATATCAAAAACCCTGATGTAATAATTTTTCAGTAATACAGAGAATAATATCATTAAAATCAATTACGTTGTGGCATACAATAGCCAATCGAACAAGTTGAGATATATAAACACCATACGATGGTGCCAAGGGAAGGTCACCATCTAAAAACGGATAATTAACAATAGGAAATGAAAATTCATCTCATCTCATCGGCAATTTTAGTATTAAGCTTCCCGTTAGAGATATGGATATCAAGATCCAGGAAAAGACAGCGTTCATTGTTAGTATTAGCTTATTTAAAGTAACTTCAACATGGTTAATCCCTTTAGTGTACATACTGAAGTCATCATTATTGAGAGCCAAAATATCATCCAAATATCTAAAAGTGTTATTTTTTTTTATATCAGATGTTGTTTCGATGGGTCATTACTGATTTTAGACATAATTGTGAGTCATTATAATATAGAAACAGGTCCGCAATAAGTGGTGCACAGTA